GGCCAGAGGCGTGGGGGATGGGAGGATCCACAAGAGACAGAGTAGGGAACAGAACAGGCAGAATGACTGAATACACTGTTCAGGGGAGCAGCGGGTGAGTCAGGAGAGGTCTGCTGCCCCATGTGGGTTGCTCCCTGGCCAGGGATTGAACTTGTGCTATGGTGGCTGCAGATTGCTTCATAGGTTGCATCTTAACCCCTTGCGCCACCAGGAAGGCACCTAATTTAACCTTTTATTGCTTAGATTTTTTTGGAAATTGCTAGGAATTTAGGATTGAGAATCTGCAACTACAATATATTTTTTGGGGAAAAAAAGGAAGAGAAGAAACTTATTTGAGAGATATTAGTATGAAGTAAAAAATGCTTATCAGGGTGATTAAATTAATTTATTCATCTGACAAACACTGAGCACTGACCCTGTGCCAGCAGAACTCAGTGGTACAAATTCAAAGATGAGACAGTATGATCCCCATCCTCAAAGGGGGTACTGTTGTTTTTTTAATTATACAGATAAATCCCCAGGAAAAAGAGGATGGCTGGCCAGGAGGGCCTCACAGGGTGCTCAGGGAAGACTCCCTGGAAGAAGCACCATCTGAAAATGAAAAGAAGTGGGAGGGGCCAGCAGGCAGCAGCAGGCCGAAGCAGTTGTGAACAGCTTGCAGTGCAGGCATGTCTGTGATGATGTGAAACCTCCAAAGGCTCCCCGACAATGCTCAGCACCAGGCGATGTTCTAAGTGCTCTACCTATGGAGACATGTTTCATCTTCACAGTGATTCTGTGAGGCAGGTTCTAGTATCATCATCCCCACTTTTCAGCTGAGAATCTCAGGTAGAGAGCAGCTTGCCCGGGGTCACCAGCTGGGACACGGTGGGGCCACTTGGCTCTGGGCCAGGTGCTCTGTCCCCTAAGACACCCAGCCTGTGGGGTGGTGGGGCGGGGACATCGGTCAGGGCCAGACACACAGACTCCAGACTGTGTCTGACAGGAGTAGCTACAAAAGCAGCTTTAGCAGGTGGGATATGATCAGATTTGCACTTTGGAAAGCTCCTCAGGCTTTGTATGAGGAGGGCCTCAGGAGGAAGCAGAGCAGAGCAGACGGCTGACACAGCGGGGGTGGCAGGAGGAAGGCGGCCTGGAAACACGAAGAGAGAATCAGCACAAGGGGCTGAGGTTCCACACCACAGCGTGATGAGTCATCCCCATACGAGAGAAACGAATCACTGCAGTGGCACGTATCACCCGCACATTTAGAGGGGGGGGACATTTCCGAGGTACTGTTTAGTCAGCAGCTTATATATAAACTACTCCTTTTCCTGTGAAGAACCATTTCCTATGAACACCAACAGTCGTTGCCACTAGTTTAAAACTAGCTCATGCATGTTTGCAGCTAGCGCTCTTCCCTTGGCCACTGTTGGACACAGGCATCAAGTAATTTACAGAAATCATACTCCTCACCGCACATACAGGCTGGAAGACCAGACCAAGGCAGGCACTGGCCACCCTAGCAGCCAAGAACTCAAGCACTGTGCCTATCCATCTCCTCCTGCTCCCGTCGCCCCTCTGGACTGACTGATACCACATGGGCCCTGCAGTGGGGTATCCTGTGGCAGATCCCACTTCCTCTGATAAGTGCCGGTGGTCACCCACCTGGGTCCCACCAACACCTCTAACCAATTGGCTCTCTTGGCGGGTCTGATTCGTGACAAAGCGCAGAAAGGGCGAGCCGCATCTGCTTACTTTAGCTAAACAGAATGGCTGAGAAGCAGGAGGCTGTGAGGACAGAAAAGAACCCTTTACTTTCTCCGGACGAAGCAGAGGTCGCACATGACAGCCCCAGCAGGGTCAGGTTTCTGTTCTGCAACCTGAGAGCGGGGACTAGGGAGTCTGTACCTCAGCTGATCTGATTAAAGGAAAACACCCTGACTGACCAGTGGGGCTTGAGTCTGCGTGCCCCGTCAGAGATCCCAGTGAGGCCAGACATTGTCCAGTCACTCTATTTATATGAGATATTGTGCCCTCCTAGTTAAGGTAATATTTATCAAAAAAATATGCTGTGTTGTGGGGGAAATCATTCTAGAGTCTAAAATACCCCTTTGTGAATAAATCAATGTTTACTACTTAGAGACTCAGGTGTGAGTACCTGGTCTTTGGGATTGAGGACTTTTAACCTAAGACTTCAGGGGAGGGTCAAGTCTTAGGTTGTTGGAAAAGTCATGACATATTTTTTCTGTTTTTCAAGCAAAAATCCTTCATAACCCAGGGCCTCCCCGGTGGCGCAGCGGTTGAGCGCTGGGTTGCAAAGCTGCCCGCGGCCTCTGCGGCGCCGGTTCGATCCCCGGCTGCTCCCCGGCCACCAGAGGAGGGTCCCACATGGCGCGCAGACCTCTCCTGCCGCCCACTGCTCCCCTCAGCGGTGTACTTCGGTCCTTCTGCCTGCTCTGCTCCCCGCTCTGGCTCTGGTGAATTCTCTCACCCTCCCGCGCTTCTGACTGTACCCAGTGCTTGTATAAACAAAACAAACAAATAAATAAATAAATAAAACATGCCTCTATTAAAAAAAAAAAAAAAAAAACCTTTAAAAAAATAAATAAAAAAAAATCCTTCATAACCCAATATTTTAATGCATCTTTAAAGTCTGTGTTCAGGGCCTCCCCGGTGGCGCAGCGGTTGAGCTCTGGGTTTCGAAGCTGCCCGCAGCCTCTGTAGCGCCGGTTCGATCCCTGGCTGCTCCCCGGCCACCGGAGGAGGGTCCCACATGGTGTGCAGACCTCTCCTGCTGCCCGCTGCTCCCCTCAGCAGTGTACTTCAGTCCTTCTGCCTGCTCTGCTCCCTGCTCTGGCTCTGGTGAATTCTCTCACCCTTCCGCGCTTCTGGCTGTACCCAGTGCTTGTATAAATAAATAAATAAATCTTTAAAAAAAAAAAAAAAGTCTGTGTTCATACTCATTTATGAGTCCTTTCTATGTGGAACTAACTGTTCCTTCTGAGTCAAATGAGGGGAAGGATGGCCCAGCAGGGAGAAGCTGCAAGTAGAATGAGTGGGTGGCCTCGTGCTGCAAAAGAGCTTGCATGCATGGTGTCTCTGCACTTGCAAGCAGGTGCAAGCCATAGCCACAGCCCTGACCTGGCTAGAGTGGGCGAGGCAGAGGAGTGAACAGCCTCAGACGCTGTGCTAAGGAGCTTATGTTTGACTCTGGAAGCAACCCTGAGCAAATTAAACATTTTAAGCAGAAGGACATGCTCAAATTTGAGCCACAGACTGCAGGAAGGGCCAGGCTAAGGCTGGAGGGCCAACTTGGAGGTTGGTATAACAATCCAGGGAGATGGTGAGGGGCTAAATCAAAGCAGTTGTTCAGGAAAGGAGGAGGTTGAGGAGAAAGGCTTGGTGGTTGACTGGACGTGAGAAGCAAGAAGGGGTGAACAAGGACTCCAAAATCTCTGGCCTAGTAAGTAGGTAAATAGTGAAATCCTATTTCTATCATACTGAGCTTGATGGTTCTGTAGGACACTAAGCATTGATTGCTTGTAGTAGAGAGCTGGCGAGGAAGGTCAAAGCTCAGGTGATGTAGCTTGGCAATCCTCATTCATTCCAAACCTACATTCTCAGTGTCTGTTATGTACCAGGCACTGTGATAAGCAGCAAGGAGAGTGTCATACAAGACAGAGAAGACCCTGTCCTCGAGAACTGTACATTTTATATGGGGCAGATGACAAACAAACATGCAAGCAGACAATAAAATTACACACAGAAGCTCCACTTCTGCTGCTCGGCAGAATTATGACACGAGGGAATAAAACAAGGTGTCATGATAAAGAATAACTGTGGCTTTAGAGAGGGTCAGGGAAGAGACAGAGAAAAAACATTCCTGGGGGAGCAAGTAGCAAATGCAAATGCCCCGATGGCAGGGAAAGCTCTTGACAGTCCAGGAAATGAAACTAGTATGACCGAGTATGGTTGGAGGGAGACACAACTGGGGGTTTGGTAAGGGGGCTTGGACAAGGAGCAATGGACAGCCACTGAAGGGCTTTCGGCAACAGCAAGGTATCAAATGTGAACATTCACGTGCAGAGGTGAAGTTAGGACAGGTAATGCTCGCAGATAAGGGGCAGTGGATGAAGCCCAAGAAGAGGCAGCCAGTGAGGTAGAGGAGCAGAGAACAGTGTTGGGAACCAATGGAGAAATTTTCAAGACAGAGAAGTGGTTTTCAGAGTCCAATGCTACGAGGAGAGAAAACAGGATAAAGATGAAAAAATATCCACAGGATTTAGCAACAAGGAATATTAATGACCTGGAAAGGGCTAGTCTTAAAGGAATGGCGGTGAATTGCTCTAAGCTGAGACCACCACCGGACGTGGACAACTAGAGCCTGGAATGTAGAGACCTGAAGCCAAAGCCAGGATACAAAGGGAAGGCAACTGAAGGGGAGGCAGCCTGCAGCATACAGCCAAATTTATAGACGGAGAAACTCCTGCCTGGTGGCCTCAATATTCTCTACAAACTAGGTATTGGGATGATTCCCTGAGGGGGTCGGGCAGCAGGAAATGGGCCAGAGAGAGATTAACATTTTCAACAGCTGCCCTGGAGAAGGGAAGAGAATTGGCTGGGCCATGAGGATCAGCAGCTCCTCCAGCCCCCAGCTGCCACCTAAGACCACGGTGGGTGACTAGCTGCTCAGCAGGCTGGATGTCAGGGCACAGGGGTGTAGACTACTAAACTTGGGGTTTTACCAGGCTGGAAGGGAAGGGGGCTCAGGTGGCCAGAAAGAGAAGTGTGTCAGCTGCCTTATGGATCCAACTGAACCCCTCCAGAGATCATGATTTCAATCCGGGACCTGTTTCTCCACCCCTCCACTCTCAGTGGGGAGTGTTTCTTCCCATCAGGCCAAACACCGTCCTGAAGAGTCACATGTTTCTCCGTTCTGTTTCCCTTTCCCTCGAGTTGCCCTCTAATCCATTCTACTCACATCCACTCACATCTCTCATCTGCACCACATCTCTTACCTGCCAGACGGCTGACGCTCCAGCCACAGGACTTTGGGCTGACAAGCTTTCTAGGACACACAAAATGCTTTAGACTTAAAAAAAAAAAAAAAAAAAGCCAAATTCAAAAAATAAAAGCTCAAAGTCAAACTAGTAGTTATCTTAAATGAATACAAAATACAACATGTCAACTAGTCAATGGCAACTTTAATATAATTAGATAAAAATTATATTTAATAGGGGATGTGGATGCTTTTCCTCCTGGATTACTGCTCCTCAAAGGACATTATTAACAGAGTTAACATCTAATAAGGATATTTCCTTTTTCAGTCTGAAGCTGATAAAGGGGCCTCCCTGGTGGCGCAAGGATTTAAGATGCAGCACTACGAAGCAATCTGCAGCCACAGCAGCATGAGTTCCATCCCGGGCCAGGGAGGGGACACACATGGCGCAGCAGACCTCTCCTGACTCGCCCACCATTCCTCTCTCAGCAGTGTATTTCAGTCCGCCTGTTCTGTTCCCCACGCTGTCTCTGGTGAATCCTCTCACCCCCCGCATCTCTGGCCTGTACCCCAGCTCTTGTATGCATAAATAAATAAATCTTTTTTAAAAATTAAAAAAAAAACATGAAAACAAGAACAAAAGGAAATGAGTAAGCAGTTCACAGAAGCTGCGGTCAAATGACTAACAAGTATATGAGGAAATCTCCAAACTGATGAGGAATCGGGGTAGGCAAATTAAAACAATAATGAGATACCCCTTCAAACCTGTCAAAGGGGCAAATGCTAGAATGGTGGATGCCCAGGGATGTGGGAGACAGGAATAACTTTTCCATAAAGCAATCTAACAATACACAGGAAGGTGTGAAACCTCTCTGATCCCTCTTTGATACAGATGTCAGAGAAATTCTAGTACAAGTCCAGGAGGGGACGTACAAGGATATCCACCCTCGCATAACTTGTGGAAGAGGGTGTTAGAGGCACCCAGGTGTCCACGAGGCAGAACGGGCAAGTGCTGGATGCAGACCATGAAATGACAAGCAACTCTGAGAAGCTCCGAACCATGTTATAGTGCATGGTGAGATTTTTTTAAATGGTATTGAGTGAAAAAAGATGTGAAACGTAATTATCATTCACAGAAACTTGAAACATACACATATAAAACATTGTTTTAGAAGGTTACAAACATATTAATATGTCACTGTTTTGCACTTGTGTTGACCCAGATCCCTCTCCTCACTGCTCACAATTCCTTCACACTGAGTGGTTTTTTTAATCTCATCATTTTTTAAAAAAAGATTTATTTACTTATGCATATAAGAACTGGGGTATAGGCCAGAGGTACACGGGGTGAGAGGATTTATCAGAGATAGAATGGGGAACAGAACAGGTGGACTGACTGAAATACACTGCTGATGGGTCAGCTCCCTGGCTGGGGATCAAACTCCTGCTGCAGTGGCTGCCAATTAACCCTTTGCAATACAGGGAGGCCCCCTGGTGGGTTTTTTTTTTTTTTAAGATTTATTTATTTGTGCATACAAGAACTGGGGTACAGGTCAGAGGTATGCGAGGTGAGAGGATTCACCAAAGACAGAGTGGGGAGCAGAACAGGCAGACTGACTGAAATACACTGCTGAGGGGAGCAGCGGGTGAGACAGGAGAGGTCTGCTGCGCCGTGTGGGTAGCTCCCTGGCCAGCCAGGGGATTGAACTCGTGCTGCAGAGACTGCAGATAGCTTCATAGTGCTGTGCTTAATTAACCCCTTGTGCCACCAGGGAGGCCCCTGTCTTTTTTATGGCACTGGAATGTCTACTCCAGGAGGCCAGGGACCTTTCTGTCTTGATCACTGCTGAATATCCAGCTCCTAGCACAGCCCCTGGGACACTGTAGATGGTCAATAAATATATGCAACTGAATAAACTAATAAATGGACATATAGGCAATAGAAAGTGAAAACTAAGAGAAGGAGAAAGGAGGACAAGTAGTAGGAAAAAAAAATAAGACAAAGGAGGAGAACCTTGCCTAGACATATAATGATGGTATCATGACTGGTCCCTAAAAATAATTATAAATTATTTTATCAATGTCAAAATTACTTGTCAAATGGTAAGAATGTCATCACCTGCCTGTCCATCCTCCTCTGCTTTTACTCTCCCACTGATCACTATGTTGTAGCCAAGAAGGCCTTTGCCAATTCCTAGGCTATACTTACCATTTCAAGGCCCTTGCACAAGTGGTTTCCTTTGGCTACATTTTCTCTTAGTTCTTCCTTCAAAAAGTCAGTTCCTTATCATTCTTCAAATTTCAGCTCAACATCACTTCCTCAGAAGGGGTTCTCCTAACCTTGCTATGTAGTACTTTCCTTTCCACCAAGTTGCGATCATATCACTTGTTCATTATCTTACCAAGTTCTGTGATTATTTTGTTTATGCATTAAATGTAAGCTCCAAGGCATCTTGTCTTCTTTAAAGCATCCCCAGCACCCGAGAGAGTAGACACTCAAATGTTTGCTGAGTGAATCAGGGTGAGGTAATGGATCTTTAAAAAAAAAAAAAAGATTTATTTATTTATGTATACAAGAACTGGGGTGCAGGCCAGAGTTGTGGGGTGAGAGGATTCACCAGAGACAGAGTGGGAAACAGAACAGGCAGACTGACTGAAATACACTGCTGAGGGGAGTAGCGGGTGAGTCAAGACAGGTCTGCTGCGCCATATGGGTAGCAACCTGGTCAGGGATAGAACTCGCACTGCAGTGGCTGCAGACAGCTTCACAGGTTGCCTCTTAACCCCTTGCACCAGCAGGGAAGCCTGAGGAAATGGATCTTAAGGTGTCTATGTAGGACAGGTTGAATAATAAAACCAGAAGGGGGGTCTCCTTGGTGGCCTGGGGGTTGAGTCTCAGGGCTATCACTGCTAAGGCCTGAGTTAGCTCTCCAGCCAGGGAGCTCACCCACATGGCATAGCAGACCTCTCCTGTCTCCCCTGCTGCTCCTTCAACAGTGTATCTCAGTAGACCTGCCTGTTCTGCTCCCCACTCTGTCTTTGGTGAATCCTCTCACCTCCCCCCCAGTTTCCCCACCCCCGACTTTTCTGGCCTGCACCCCATCTCTTCTATGCATAAAGAAATAAAATCTTAAAAAAAAAAAGCAGATTAGGAGAAAACAGGAGTCTTGATGAGGTCAAAGAACTGGGGAGGAAAGAGGGCTGGAAGGAGAGGTTTGGTGCAGTTACAAATGACTGGTCTCTCAGATAAGAATTAACAAGTTTGTCTTCCCCCATCTCTTGCAATTTCCCCCTTATTTGACAAGTTTGCCTTTTTTATGACCAGTCTCTCAGATAAGCATTAACAAGTTTGTCTTTCCCATATTTCTTGCAATCCCCCCCTTGCTTGATAGTCTTCTTGCATTCCAAGGAAAAAGTAAGCTGGCATCCACCCGGCTCTACGCTGACCCCTTTCCTCTCCCCTTTGCAGACCCTTGCCCATCTTCCCCCCTTTTTTCCCTTTGTATAAATACCCCCGCACTCTGCCAAAGTGCAGGACTGTTGTCTTTCAGACATGAGTCTGCTGCCCTCCTCATTTGTCGACAAATTAAACCACTTTCCTTTTCCTCAAACTGTTTCCTTTTATTGGCTGAAGGAAACTGAGGGCATATTCGGTATCAGCTTGTGGTCAAGACACCAACTTCCTGGAAATGCTGTTAAGGGTTTCAGCATTAATGTGCTGGGATGGTGGGATCATGGGCAGAACTGTTCCTTTAAAGTGTCCAATACTGTTACAATTTGTTCATGTAAAAAAAAAATTAAGGGGCCTCCCTGCTGGTTCAAGGGGTTAAGCGTCAGCACTATGAACCTATCCGCAGCTACTGCAGTACCATTTCGCAGGCCAGGGAGGTGACCCACATGGCACAGCAGACCTCTCTTGTCGCGCCTGCACTGCTTCCCTCAGCAGCGTTCAGTGGATCCACCTGTTCTGCTGCCCACTCTGTCTCTGATGAATCCTCTCTCACACACTCACATACACTCCTCCCTCTGGCCTGCACCCCAGCTCTTGTATGCATAAATGAATCTTAAAAATAAAATAAAAATTAAGGCAGAAAGCGCTTCTACGGTAACAGTCATCACACTACCCAGTTAAAGAAGGTATTATTTCCATAAAAAGAACTAAAACACAATGCTTTCTATGTGGCAGGCACTGTTCTAAGCACCTTAAGCGTATTTATTCATTTCTTGTTTTACATTTTCAAATGCAAAAGGTTTTCAAACGCAAAGGTTTATTAGGAAAAGGAGACTGAAAAAAGAGAGACCTGTATAAAAACATATGGGCAGTCTTGCCAGGGGAGCTACTATTGATTCGATTTTCAAAACGCCCCGTTGAAAAGGGTGCCATTGTGCCATTTTCTTTTGAGGAACCCTGGTACTGAGCGGTTAAGCCTGGCTCACGCCCTGCTGCGTCAGGATTTGAACCCCGAGCTAATTCCAAAGCCTGTGTTTTTCCTGCCACCTGGAGTTTCAGTAGTAACTGGGCTCGCTGGCGCCCCCAACAACTGGCGCCCCCGGGTTACGGGGACGGGCGAACACCACGTGACTTCCGGGAAGGGCTTGTCCTAAGCGCGGCCAATGACCCGCCAGCCCGAGGCCCACGTGACTGCGCGCGTCCGGCCGCCACGCCGGTCTCGCGTAATCAGCCCCCCGCGGGACAGCCCCCCTCTTCTCGCCCCTTCACCTCCTGCGAGAGTTGCCTTCCTGCGAGAGTTGCCTCCCTGCCAGAGCTGCCGCGGACTGGCTTCCTCCACCTTACCTCCCCGCGGCGACCAGCTTCTGGAGAAAAGTGTCCACCATGGTGTCCAGCAGCTTCACCCTCGAAATGGCGGGGCTGCAGGGCACAGATTCCGGGGACGAGGCCTCAGGCCCTTTTCCCTCACATTCGTTACCTACGTCGACGCGGCTCGCTTCGGCCATGTTGAAGTCGAACCGCCAAATCCGAGACCCGGCCGGCCCGCCCCCCGGAGCCCGCGATTGGCCGCCGCGGAGTGCCCGTCACCGAGCCCGCGGCGGGAAGGGAGAGGGCGGGCCGGCGGCTCTGCAGCGCGCACCTGCCGCTCCCACCCGGCGAAAAGAGCGCAGGCCAAAGCTTAGGGCTCAATAAAAATTTTTAATTACATTTCAAAGACTTCTTACAGTGCAGTAGTGAATGTTTGCTGTTAATTTTCACAAGAGTCCACTTTATCAAATGTTTACTACAGCTGCATTTTCATTCCCCTGTCCCTCTACAATTCCAGGTTTCCCTGGCTGCCCGGCTTCCCAGAAGTTTCTTCCTGTTGTGGCTTGGAGCCAATACATCGCAAATTCCCAGCTGTCCAATCTGAGGTCCTGGGAAGAAGGAAGCCCACTGCCCCAACCCTGCCAAGACACTTTAATCAAACCCAAGCCGACTCCCTAAACTATTAGATAGGAAGGAAGGGTCAGGAGTCCCTTTCATTATTTACACATCGTCCTTTAAAACTGTGTATAGGGGGTAGGGGAGAGGCTATTTAATACTGTACAAGAAAATAAAACAGAAGGAAAGGAGTCTGGAAGGGAAGAAAACCCTAACACATGAGAGGTGGGGACTAGCTCCTGGTCTGACACTTCACCCTCTTCGCCACTATGAGGAAGGACTAGACACGCTTCTAGGAAGGGAAAGTATGGAGCTGAAGAAATCGTTCTCCAAAGTCTCATTAGATAAGCTTAACAAGGAAGGAGGGACCCCTGGCTTCCATTATATCGTGATTCTTAGGGTTAAGGGATGACTGAGGGGCAGGGAAGATTCAGAATGGTCCAAGGGTCCAAACTTTGGATGATCATTTGTGAATAGAAATTGGAGGGCTCTTAAAATGCAAGGGACAAATAGAATTTAAAAATCAAGATAAATTAAAGGGAAAATACTCCTCAAAGATAAGGGACCAAGACAGGCAGCGGGGTGGTGAAGGTAGAGTAACATGTGTTTCAGCTTCTGATCTGGCAGGTGACAGAATTGGGGTCGCCTTAAGAAACATCAAGGCATCAGGTAGCTAGCACCTTTCAAATTGGCACCATGGCCTTTCCCAGGGGTGGGACCAATAAAGTTTGAAGGCTCATCTAGGCCAAATGTCTCAAGTAGAAATGCAGAGTTTGACATGCCCCTTCTCATTCCATTTACTGCACCTCTCTCCTGTGACCCACACTTGGAGGAGGAGGTGGGGAGTAGCAGGGAGGATGAGAATGGGAAGAAGGAGCTCTTATCATCTCAATCCTGAGAGCTTTGACAGATAATCTCGGCAGTATCAGGCTGGTAAATGCAGTGGTCTTGGTCTTGGGTGACTTCCCAATCTGCTCTTTATTCTTCCAGCATCCCTCCAGAGGGTACTGTGACTGGGATGGCTCTTCACAGTGGGGAGAAGAAAAACACAGACAGTTCCACATTTCAGGGATTCCCATTGTGAAACAACATGTTTCCAGGAGTCCAAGTGATTGTGTATGTCAAGTGGCTGGGCCGAGAACCTCCACGCCCTCGCCTACTAGGCTGTGGCCTGGGGAGTTGCACATATTCTCTTGGCATTTTCCAATCCAACTACCCTTGACCTGACTTTTCAGGGCTGTGCTCCATGTCCAGTGTGCTGCCAGCCTGTGCCTACCACTCTTATCACCTGGGCCAGGGGAAACTAACAGCTTATATTGTCCTGGGGTTGCCGGGGCTAAAGGGAAAATGGAAGGGACGGGGAAGAGGGATTGAGGGAAGAGCTATATTACAGTTTTCCACATGTACGGGGGACAGGTGGGCTCTGACTGCAGGACTGGCGTTTTAGCAGGAGTAAGACAAGTAGCCTAATTCACATGTGTTAAAAAAATCCACAAAATAAAGTACCCACATTTCTCCCCAACCTAGTAACTCTCCAAAGGAAGACTAGTGTTCCAGAGAACCAGAAGTTTATGCTTCTCTTATTCCCTATGCAAAAGTGTCTGGCACCTTGCCTCCAGTGGCAGGGACAAGCATAGTAGTCTGATGGGCATTTCAGTCCCAAAATAAAAATGAGCAAGCCTAAGAGACGAAGCAGGGTGGGCTGCTTGGAAAGTAGGCTGGGAGCCCCAGAGGAAAAACTAGCAGTAGTCAGCAAGCTCTATATACAGCTCTTTTCAGGATCTGAGGGATACAGGTGGGGGCAGAAGCCAGAAGTGTGAAGAGGGCAGGTGGAGTGGGACTGGGGTGAGGGTGGGTTTCCTTAGGGCAGGACTAAGTGAGGGAGCCCAGTTTGGCAAGAGAATTAAAAATAATGAAGGCAGGGAATCCAGGTATGGAACCTCTTCCATAAGAGCAGTTCAAAGTCTCTGTCCCGGTCCCAGACAGGCCACCTGCCCCGGACAGGGCTAGGTCAGTGGTGGGGGCACTTGGAGAGGATTCTCTCCTCCCCACTCCACCCCTGACCCAGGTAGTGTTGGGAAGCAGCAGGCTTCTCCCTATCATTGTTACCAGTGCCTTGAGTCCACCAGCTCAGGTCGAAGGCTGAGTTTCTTGAGGCTCTCGTAGCCCACCACAATGACAATGGTGGAGGGCGTCGCTGAGATGATTCTGGCTGACAGGCCCTTCATGAGGCCCCAAGGACCCTCTTCTGCCATCAGCTGTCTGAAAGTCAGGATGATGGAGTTCTTGCCTTCAACCTGGAAAAGTCAGCACAGTGGAGGGCTGCGGCCCGCACTTAGAGCCCCTCTGCGCGATCTCCCTCTGCCTTAGGTTGGCGTCGGAAGGAACAGCCAGAGGGACAGTATACCACAGTGACTGCAGATGGACTCTGGTGCACACTGCCCAGGCTTAAATTCTGGTCCACAGTCTATTTAATTCTTTGCATTCAGTTTCCTCAAATATAAAACAGTGATAATTGACCAATGCCATCTGAGCAGTAAAAAAGAATATTCTTGAATAAGAAAAGAGTGTCCAGTAGACAGTAAGCATTGAATAAATGTTAGCTATAGAGGCCTTCCTGGTGGCTCAGGGGTTAAAGTCAGCGCTATCATCAGCCACTGTTGCCCAAGTTTGATCCTGGGCCAGGGAGGTGACCCACATGGTGCAGTAGACCTCTCCTGTCTCGTCCACTGCTCCCCTCAGCAGTATATTTAATAGATCTGTCTGTTCTGCTCCCTACTCTGTCTCTGGTGAATCCTCTCAACCTTCAGCCCCTGTACCTCTAATCTATCTAACCTATATGTCATTTCTTATATGCATTTAAAAAAATAAACCTTAAGGGCCTCCCCGGTGGCGCAGCGGTTGAACGCTGGGTTGCGAAGCTGCCCTCAGCCTCTGCAGCGCCGGTTCGATCCCCGGCTGCTCCCCGGCCACCGGAAGAGGGTCCCACATGGCGTGCAGACCTCTCCTGCCTCCCGCTGCTCCCCTCAGCAGTGTACTTCGGTCCTTCTGCCTGCTCTGTTCCCCGCTCTGGCTCTGGTGAATTCTCTCACCCTCCCGCGCTTCTGACTGTACCCAGTGTTTGTACAAATAAATAAATAAATAAATCCTTAATAAATAAATAAATAAATAAACCTTAAATAAATAAATAAATGTCAGCTATTGTTATTGTCAGCAGGTAAGCATATAGCATGAGTCTTGGGACTGGGTAATTCTCTGGTCTTGGGAAGGCTGGATTAAACCATCTCTAAGGTCTTCTACAGCTCCCCCAAATTGTGATTTTTTTTTTTTTAAAAGATTTATTTTTTTTTTTTATTTATGCATCCAAGGTCTGGGGTATAAGCCAGAGGTGTATTGGCCAAGATGGGTGGTTAGAGGATTTACCAGAGACAGAGTGGGGAGCAGAACAGGCAGACTGAATAAAATACACTGCTGAGGGGAGCAGTAGGCGAGTCAGGAGAGGTCTGCTGTGCCATGTGGGTCAGCTCCCTGGCTGGGGATCAAACATGCTGCAGTGGCTGTGGATAGCTTCATTATGATGAGACTTAACCCCTTGCAATACCAGAGAGGCCCTCAAATAGTGATTTTGATTCTAATTATCTCAACCCCTCTGAAACTCCAGTTAGAGCCTCCCCTCTGACCCTGTTGTCTCCCATGCACCCTGTGGCCTCTCTTCCTTATCATACTGGAAGCTTTGCTAGGTAAGAGCTCACCGCTCTTCTCTCTCAACAGTCCTGCCACACTCCCTGCCACCAAAGTACACCTTTAGAGATGTTCCCTCCGACCCTCAGCCAATGCAGGCGATGCACTCCCTGATCATACCTCTCCTATCCGCTGTGGCCTTCACAGCGGTGCTCCACGCCTCCCTGTGCCCTTCAGCACACTCCTTCACAATGCTCTCATCCCATCACCTCTGCTCCCCAACCCTCCCACTCATCCACAGCCCCACCCAGGCTCTCCAAGCACGCCTCCAGTCCTCACGTGCACTCTGTCTCCTCTAGCTTCGGAGGGCCTCAAAACAGTGGCCTGTCTTTCCCCTTGGATCTCCTGCTGGAACACCCAGACAAGGCTCAGGAGACAATAGGGACAGAACCTGTGAGTTTTATTATTTGCAAACCAATCAGGTGTCAATTTATTCATTTTTAAATGGAGGTGGGGGGAGGGAATAAGGCAGATCTTTCCTAGAGATAAAAATAACGATTTATGAGCCACCCCATCCTATCATCTGGTACCAGGGAATCTGACCTCACCTCCAACTCGTTAAAGTTATTTTCCTTGGGCTTCCCTGGTGGCCTAGGGGTTAAGTTTCCAGCGCTATCACTGCTTCTGCCTTAGTTTGATCCCTGGCCAGGGAGCTAACCCACACATGGCACAGCAGACCTCTCCTGTCACCAGCTGCTTCCCTCTGCAGTGTATTTCAGTAAATCAACCTGTTCTGCTCCCCACTCTGTCTGGTGAATCCCCTCACCCCTGCCCCTCTAGCCTATACCCCAGTTCTTCTATGCAAAAATAAATAAATAAAATCTTTAAAAAAAGTTATTTTCCTTCCCTGCCCTCATCACAACCCAATGACCCCACTGGCCTGGACATCTTGTTGCTAACCTTTCCTCTTAAGCTGCCTAAATCAAATGTCAAAGACCCCCTCCTCCCCCACGGATAGTACAATCTACCACTTATATATTATACATCATCATTCAGATCCCACCTCCTGGGTCTAGGTGCTGTGTAACTGTCCTTGAGTTGACTGAAGACAGGGACTTTAATTTCTGGACAGTAGCACCCAAGTTAGTATTTTTGCTGAGTCCACACAGCACAATTTAAGGACAGTCACTCTCATTGTCTGAGAGATCCCACAGCCTAGTGGAGAAACCAGACAGACTTGGGAAATTAAATGAAATAGATGTTTCTAGTAATCACAAACCTACAGGTAAGGAAAGGGTGACTGGCAGGCTCTGCTAATAGGATTAAGATTGGAAGGAACTAGCAAGAATTCTTAGAGACACAGGTAAGTAAAGAAGTAGAGGTCTGCAATGTAGCAGAGAGGATGAGAAATATCCTAGGTGCTCCCAAGTGCCCCGCTGGTTTCTGTAAACAGCAACAGTAACTGCAAGAAGGAGCTTGGATGACCAGGACAAAGTTAACTGGACTAGAGGGCCACAAAAAGGATGGGAACATGGGGGAGGGGCCAAAGATCACACTTCTGATGGTTAATCTGAGAGGAAAGTGGGGAAGGAAACTGCTCTTACCTGCACTCGGGTTCGGATCACATCCATGGGATTGGTGAGGATGGAAGCAGTGGCTGCGGCCAAGGGCCCGGAGATGGCTTGAAAGACAATGTGAGGACACTCCTTAGGACAGAGGTGGGAGAGCTGTTCTGGAATCAAAGGAAAGACATTGTCTCAAGACATGAGGTATCACCCTGGCTGGCCTCACGCTGTTTCTACCAGTTGTCCTTCCCCCTGATAACAAATCCTCCTTCCTTAACCACCTTAGGCCCCACAGCCCCTGTTTTCTCTTTCATCTGCTTCCATCTATACCAACAAAAATTACAAATCTAAGCTCCCATCCAGAAATCATCTCCAACATTATCACCTACTTTTTTTTTAAAGATTTATTTATTTATGCATATAAGAACTGGGGTACAGGCCAGCGGTGTGGAGGGTGAGAGGATTCACCAGAGACAGAACAGAACAGGCAGACTGACTGAAATACACTGCTGAGGGGAGCAGCAGGTGAGGCAGGAGAGGTCTGCTGTGCTATGTGGGTAGCTCCCTGGCCGGCGGGGAGTCGAACTTATGCTGCAGAGGCTGTGGACAGCTTCACAGAGCTGTGCTTAACCCCTTGCACCACCATATCACCCATTTTGAACAGGACAAGATTGCTCTGGAGAAGGGGATTTCAAAATCACTTAGCTTGCTGACAGCTTTCATCTGACAGAAATCCTGATGTAAAAATCTTATTATGCCTGTGTTCTGCTCCTCTCAACTCACAAACTAGAGAACATACACTTAATTCTTTCCTTACATGTGCACTTATTTTTTTTTTTTTTTTTTAAAGATTTATTTATTTATTTGTTTTATACAAACACTGGATACAGTCAGAAGCGCGGGAGGGTGAGAGAATTCACCAGAGCCAGAGCGGGGAGCAGAGCAGGCAGAAGGACCGAAGTACACTGCTGAGGGGAGCAGCGGGCCGCAGGAGAGGTCTGCGCGCCATGTGGGACCCTCCTCCGGCGGCCGGGGAGCAGCCGGGGATCGAACCGGCGCTGCAGAGGCCGCGGGCAGCTTCGCAACCCAGCGCTCAACCGCTGCGCCACCGGGGAGGCCCACATGTGCACTTATTATCACAATGTGTCTAAGGACATATTAAGAACTGGGCCACTCCAGCAGGTGAGGTGCTTCCGTGCATCCCTTTTCCTACCTACTGACTTCTGAACCATGTGAATATTAAAAAAAAAAAAAATTACAGGGCTTCCCTGGTGGTCTAGGGGTTACGTCTCAGTGCTATTACCTTGATGGCCTAAGTTCAATCCCGGCCAGGGAGGTAACCCACATGGCAAAGCAGGCCCTTTCTGTCTCGCCTGCTGCCCCTTCAGCAGTGTACTTCAGTAGAACTGCCTGTTCTGCTCCCCACTATCTCTGTCTTTCACCCCCCGCACCTCTGGCATACACCCCAGCTCTTGCATGCATAAATAAATCTTTGAAAAAAAAAAACAAAAAACAAAATGTGTGACTATGTCAGGAGGTGATATATGGTAACTAGATATAAAAAATAAAGCAGGAAAGGAAGATAGGAGAACAGCAAGGGTGGAGGTGACTACGTAAAAGAGTTGTGGGGCTTCCATGGTGTGCAAGGGGTTAAGTCTCAGCACTATGAAGCTATCACCCACCACTACAGCACGAGTTCAATCCCCGGCCAGGGAGATGACCACAGCAGACCTTTCCTGTCTTGCCCGCCGCTCCCCTCAACAGTGTATTTCAGTAGATCTGTCTGTTCTGCTCCCCACTCTGTCTCTGGTGAATCCTCTCCCCGCCCTCCCCACACCTTTGGTCTATACCCCAGTTCTTGTATGCATAAATAAATAAATCTTTAAAAAAAAAAGAGTTGTGAAAGTCCTCTTCAAGAAAATAAAATCTGGGGGCCTCCCTGGTGGCACAAGGGGTGAAGCACTGCACTATCAAGCAATCCAAAGCCTCTACAGCACAAGTCCAATCCCCAGCCGGCCAGGGAGCAACCCACATGGCGCAGCAGACCTCTTCTGTCTTGCCCACTGCTCCCCTCAGCAGTGTGTTTCACTCAGTCTGCCTGTTCTGCTCCCCACTCTATCTCTGGTGAATCCTCTCACCCCTCACATCTCTGGCCTGTACCCCAGCTCTTGTATGCATAAATAAATAAATCTTTAAAAAAAAAAAAAAAAGAAGATAAAATCTGAGGGAGGTGTGTGCAAGCCACATGGATCTGTGGAGAGAGCTTTTCAAGCAAAGGTAAAAATCCTATCAAAGGCCCTGAGGCAGGAGCATGCCTGGAGTCTTCAAGGTCAGTATACAGGGCAGAGCCAATGAAGGGAGGCGCAGCAGGTAGGGTCCAAGATGTAAGTCGCTGAGGGCCTTGAAGCCACAGTGAGTGAGACTGGATGTAAAACAGGTTATCATCGCAGAGTCCTTCAGTTTTCGCTTTACAATTCAGCCACCATATCTTTTTTTTTTTTTTTAAAGATTTATTTATTTATTTATACAAGCACTGGGTACAGTTAGAAGCGCGGGAGGGTGAGAGAATTCACCAGAGCCAGAGCGGGGAGCAGAGCAGGCAGAAGGACCAAACTACACACTGAGGGGAGCAGCGGGCGGCAGGAGAGGTCTGCGCGCCATGTGGGACCCTCCTCCGGTGGCCGGGGAGCAGCCGGGGATTGAACCACCGCCGCAGAGGCTGCGGGCAGCTTCGCAACCCAGCGCTCTACCGCTGCACCACCGGGGAGACCCTCAGCCACCATATCTTTAAGAATTTTGTTTTCAGACTTCTCATTTTGGCAGTTTGTGGCCAGGAAACTAAAGAGTAGGGGACAAGTAGAAGGTGGGCGCTGGCAGGGCAGAGTGCAGGTCTCCAGTTTCCCTGAGCCTGGCCAGAGCACCTCTCCCTCGGCTTCCATCGCCCTCTTCCCCAGGGTCCGCACACAAACAGAAACAAAGTGAATTGGGAGTCTTGTTTCTTCTCAGAAAGCATTTTGCAATCACTAGCAGGTAACATCCAGACTGGCACTGCCAGCCTCATGTGCCTGTCTGCACTTGCCCCTAGACCTGCCATCGGCAGCAGGACTCAGACTCCAATTCCTGGGGCTTAGGGGAAGAACGAAAAAATAAAGGCAAGAGGGTGGGGAACAAAGCCCCTTGTCTTTCCTTCTCCTCTGTTCATTCAGCAAATGCTTATTAAGGCAGAAGATAAACCCAGGCTGACCTGGTATTAAGTTCTTCCTGGTTAAATGACTTTGGACAAGTAATATAAATGAATATTTACTTAATGCTTACCAGATGCCAGGTAAACACTAGCCATAAAAACTGAGAAATGGACAGGAAAATACCTTCATGGAACTTAAATCTAAAATGAAAGAGCTGGAAGTCATAGATATAATAATTTCAAATTATGACAAGTGCTATGAAGGAAACAAGGGACTAAAAAAAGAAAATAGAAAGAGCCCTCTTTCCAAAAGGGTAGTCTTTGCAAAGGTAATGTGTAAGCTAAGGCCAGAAGCTGGAGAAGTACCCAGCCACACAAAAGGATATTCCAGTCAGAAAGAACATTATTTGCAAAGGTCTCGCAGGAGAAGCACTTGGTATGTGTCTGGAACTGAGAGAGAGGCAGTGAGGAAGACCAGGCAGTGAAGGAGAGCGCAGCATGAGATGGGCTGGAGAAGTAGACAGGAACACCTACAGTGACCGTGGGAAGCATTAGATTTTACTCTAAGTGTCTAGATGGCAACAATAGTAGATCTTTTTTTTTAAAAAAAGATTTATTTATCCATGCATACAAGAACCAGGGTATAGGCCAGATGTGCCGGAGGGTAAGAGGATTCACCAGAGACAGAGTGGAGAACAAAACAGGCAGACTGAGCAAAATACACTGCTGAGGGTAGCAGTGGGCGAGTCAGATCAGCAGAGGTCGGCTGCACCATGGGGGTCACCTCCCTGGCCGGTTTATTTATTTATTTATTTATTTATTTATTTATTTATTTATTTAAAAGATTTATTTATTTATGCATACAAGAGCTGGGGTACAGGACAGAGAAGTGGGGGGTGAGAGGATTCACCAGAGACAGAGTGGGGAACAGAACAGGCAGATTGACTGAAATACACTGCTGAGGGGAGCAGCGGGCGAGTCAGGAGAGGTCTGCTGTGCCATGTGGGTAGCTCCCTGCCCGGGGATCGAACTCATGCTGCAGTGGCTGCAGATAGCTTCATAGGTTGCATCTTAGCCCCTTGCACCACCAGGGAGGCCCGGAGAGTGCTGAGACTTTAACCCCTGTGCCACGAGAAGGTCCCAGCAGCATTAGCAGATTTTAAGCAAAAAGGGTAATAAGAGGGTCTCCCTGGTGGCGCAGGGGGTTGAATAATGTACTGTGAAGCAGTCCGCAGCCTCTGCAGCACAAGTTTGATCCCCGGCCAGACAGGGAGCTACCCACATGGTGCAGCAGACCTCTCCTGACTTGCCCGCTGCTCCCCTCAGCAGTTTATTTCGGTCAGTCTGCCTGTTCTGTTCCCCACTCTGTCTCTGGTGAATCCTCTCACCATCCACACCTCTGGCCTGTACCCCAGGCTCTTGTATGCATAGATGAATGGATCTTTGAAAGGAAATAAATAAAATAAAATGGAAAATACAATCATTTATTCTAAAAAAAAAAAAAAGGGTAACAAGAGCCAATCTACTCGTTCAAATAAGAAATACCGGGCCTCCCCTGTGGCGCAGCAGTTGAGCGCTGGGCTTCCAAGCTGCCCGCAGCCTCTGCAGTGCTGGTTTGATCCCCGGTCACCGGCAAGGGTCCCACATGGTGCGACAGACCTCTCCTGCCGCGCCCACTGCTCCCCTCAGCAGTGTATTTCATCAGTCTGCCTGTTCCGTTCCCCGCTCTGGCTCTCGTGAATTCTCTCACCCTTCCGCGCTTCTGACTGTACCCAGTGCTTGTATAAATAAATAAATCTTAAAAAAAAAAAACCAAAAACAAATAACAAATACCCACTGAGCACTTGCTAATCACCAAACCTTGAGTCACAAGTTGGGAGGAACAATAGTGAACATAACCAGACAAGGCCCCTGTGCTCACAGAAGCTGCAGCCTAGTAGGAGACAGTTGTGTGGTTTCATGAGAACATATAAAAAGGGAACAAAACTAAACTGGTACATCAGGGAAAGTATCCTATGAGGACACACACATCATAGGGTTGTTGTGAGAACGAAATAATGAGGGAGATGCAAGGTCTGGGCACAGAGACTGGCTCATCATGGGCATTCAATAAATGTTAGGCTCCTCCCCTCGACCCTTCCAAGAACTCTCCAGTCAATAACATTTCAATAAAGCTGGGGAAAAATGCATTTTTTTGAAGATTTATTTATGTATGCATACAAGAGCTGGGGTACAGGCCAGAGGTGCTCAGGAGTGAGAGGATTCACCAGAGACAGGGTGGGCAGCAGAACAAGCACACTGACTGAAATACACTGCTGAGGGGAGCAGCGGGTGAGACAGGAGAGGTCTGCTGCGCCACGTGGCTAGCTCCCTGGCCAGCCGGGGATCGAACTCATGCTGTAGTAGCTGCAGATAGCTTCATAGTGCTGCATCTTAACCCCTTGTGCCACCAAGAGTCCCCTGCATTTTTTTTTTTAAAGAACCTTCCCACTAGTAGAAGAGATATGGCACAAACAAGTGACATCAAGGCAAATGTTCTACCTGCCTTATGAAAGACGTAAGCTTCGTCACTGGGTGGAAAGGAGGGAAAGATCTCCAGTTAAAGGCTCTACGGAGAGCCTGGGAGAAGCAGCAACAGGAGCACTTTAAGGTAAGTCATGATTTCACCAGGGCTCAATGAACCCAGAAGGCACCGGGACAGAGGGATGCCAGGAACATAGCTGAGGGGCAGAGGTGACGCCTGGCTGGGGGACCGTGGCAATGGCACAGGTGATTCACAGTGAAGCAGCAGGTTTCACTGTGAAGGGAGCATGACATCAGGCCAAAGCATGTGGACTTTACTCAGCTAGCAGGGGCAGCCACTCAATATCACAACTAGGGTTAGAAAGTGATTCCGTTAGGGGCCTCCCTGGTGGCGCAAGGGGTTAAGACGCAGCACTATGAAGCTATCCGCAGAGTTTGATCCTGGCCAGAGAGCTAACCCACATGGCGCAGCAGACGTCTCCTGTCTCGCCTGCTGCTCCCGTCAGCAGTGTATTTCAGTAGATTTGCCTGCTCTGCTCCCCACTCTGTCTCTGGTGAATTCTCTCACCAACCCCCCAACACCTCTAGCCTACACCCCAGCTCTTGTATGCAAAAATAAAAAAAATAAATCTTAAAAGAAACCCAAGAGGGCCTCCCTGGTGGCGCAAGGCATTAAGACGCAACCTATGAAAGTATCCGCAGCCACTGCAGCACCAATTTCGATCCCCGGCCAGGGGGCAACCCAAATGGTGCAGCAGACCTCTGACCTCTCCTGACTCGCCCGCTGCTCCCCTCAGCAGTGTATTTCTTTTTTTTTTTTTTTAAGATTTATTTATTTATACAAGAATCGAGGTACAGGCCAGATGCGCGGGAGGGTGAGAGGATTCACCAGAGACAGAGCAGGGAACAGAACAGGCAGACTGATGAAATATGCTGCTGAGGGGAGGAGCAGGCATGACAGGAGAGGTCTGCTAAGCCATGTGGGACCATCGCCGGCCAGCCAGGATTGAACCTTCACTGCAGAGGCCGCAGACAGCTTCACAGGACGGTGCTCAACCACCTGCGCCACCAGGGGAGGCCTTCAGCAGTGTATTTCAATCAATCTGCCTGTTCTGTTCCCCACTCTGTCTCTGGTGAACCCTCCCACCTCCAGCACCTCTGGCCTGTATCCCAGTGCTTGTATATATAAATAAATAAATCTTTTAAAAAAATTTAAAAAAAAAATAAGAAAAGAAAATGATTTTGTTATAGCTGTGTGCAGGAGTAGCAGGAAGAGACATAGAGGGGACAGCTTGAGGCTGATGCATTCCAGAAGGAGGTAACAGAGGCACGGTCTCTAGGAAGCAATGGTAATGGAAAGTCACTCTGGGGGTCAAGATGTGGGACAAGGAAGAGAGGGTGGCCAAGCACAATTTCCAAGACTTCAGTCTCAGTGATTTGGAGAATGACATAGGCACTGGCATGAGAAGGAACACTGGTCTGGGGTAAAGAATGGTTAATTGAATAAAATCTCTAATGTAAACACATGCACTAGCAGTCAGACTGTCTGTCCAGAGCTCTGAGCAGGCTCTAGTCTGTAACAGAAATAGATTTTGGATATATCAGAATCATACAACTACAATTTAAATGAAATCAAATGAGGAGAAAAGGGCTAAAACAGAGAAAATGCTTACATTTCCTAGGAAAGTTTTTTTTTTTTTAACATTGGATGTTTATGTTGGGAAACAACATAATGAGGCCGGTGAGGGGAGGGGGAGAAAAATAGGAAAGCAGGAGAAGTAATGATTATAGGTTAGGAAGTCGTTACAAAACTTGGTCAGGAAAGTTCCAGATGGGATGGGACAAAATGCACACTGTGAAGGGCCAGGAGCAGGGGTGATGCAGGTGCAGACTGCTCAAGGCTGTGGATGTCACAGGGCAGCCAATACACAGCTCCTGCCCTTGGTGATGTATATGCCCTTTCAGAAGGAAATCTGCAGTACACTTGTTGTAGCTCTCAAAACCTTTTGACTCAAGGTTTTTAAGTATTTTTAAGAAATACTTAAAAAGTAAAATGTCTTATAACAAAATGCATTATAGGAGTGTAGAGGTCCAAGTTTATATCACCTCTTGAATTTAACAATGCTGAGGAAAGGCACCCAACTCAAAAGCTCCATCAAGTTTATCTTCAAATCCCAAAAGTCCTATGAATTGTCTCTTTCCCCATCTTCCAGTTCTCTGCCAGTATTCCACAAACCCTCACGGCACCAAGTACAACCTCTATTTCTATAGCCATCTACTTTTTTTTTTTTTTTAAATAAACTAACCACAAGTGCCTCTATCTATTTTATTTTATTTTATTTTATTTTATTTTATTTTTTAAAGATTTATTTTATTTATTTATACAAGCACTGGGTACAGTCAGAAGCACGGGAGGGTGAGAGAATTCACCAGAGTCAGAGCAGGGAGCAGAACAGGCAGAAGGACCGAAGTATAGTGCTGAGGGCAGCAGCGGGCGGCAGGAGAGGTCTGTGCGCCATGTGGGACCCTCCTCCGGTGGCCGGGGAGCAGCCGGGAATTGAACCGGTGCTGCAGAGGCTGTGGGCAGCTTCACAACCCAGCGCTCAACCACTGCGCCACCGGGGAGGCACTCTATAGCCATCTACTTTGTGTGACTTCCCCCTTCACTTTATTATGAGCTCCTCGATGGCAAGAACCAGGTATCAATCATCTTTGAATTTGGAAACAAACTTTGGCTGAATGGTTGACCCATGCTCCCATTCAATGTGCCATCCAACACAGAGAGAATAGTATCTCAACCCCACTCATAAACCCACCCTCCACCCTACTCCCCTGGCCCCTGTTTACCTGCGTAGAAGTGATAGAAGGGCCACCAGACAGCACTGTTTGGGATGTACGTAAGCAGGGAAGCCACGTAACCTCTATAGAAGCCTCGAAGCCCATCAGCCTGCAGGATCTGCCTGATGATATCCTTGGTTTGGCCAAAGGCAATTACCCCACGTCCCTCTGTGTTCCCACGCACTTGGAAACGACCCATTTTGTCACCCTTTCGCTGCATCATCAGGTGCTGGGAGACCACATCGATGGGCACTGTGATGCTCTGAGCCACGAGAGAGGCCGAGCCACCAGCCACCAGCGATTTGACTGTGTTGCTCTGGCTATAGTCAGCTACAAACTTCCGGGTGAGCTCATAGGTGGTGACGTAGCATTGGCCAGAGATGAGGGTGAAGGTGTTGACCAGGAACCCCCGGTAGAGGCCGGTTACCCCGTCTGCTCGCAGAATCTTGATGAAGGCATCAAAGGTCCCATGGTAGAGGCTCTTGCCCTTCTGAACCTGCAACCGAGTGCGGATGAGGGTGAATGGGTAGACGCTGACGCGGATCATCATTGTCATCGCCACGCCAAACACATAGAACTTCTTCTTGTCCAGGTGCTCCCACTCGATGATCTGGATGTTGCGTTTGTCCTCCATCGTGCCTGCAGACCTGGGGGCTTGAGCAGAGTAGAGGGATGTAAGGAAGGAGGTCAGAACTTGGAACCTTCTTCTCCTGACCAGGCTCTGAAACGCCATTCTCAGGCTTCCTCTTGGTGGTACTCACCTCCCCAAAGCTTAGACTTCACTCAGCCTGGTTCTGCCAACTATGCCTGAATCTCTCTTCACACATCACAACACAGCCCCTTCTTCTTACACTCAGGCCCCTGCTTAGAAATCCTTCCTCACCTGAGTGATTCCTTGGCTCCATTCCCACCTCAACTCCTGACCCCCAGCTTATAGGTTCATGTCTTCTGCTGCCTCTGCCGGGCCCTGGTGGCAGGGCCCATTCTTCTTCCCTGGTTCACTGAGCAGAGCTCAGGAGGCTCCAGACAAACTGAGCAGTTGGCAGGATATGGGGCTTTTAACTGGGCTAATGGAATGTCACTAAGTTATGTTTAAACCATCCCTACAGGTTGAAGGGAAGCACTCCATTTTTATTTTCCTGAATAGAAGAGAAGGCACCACCTTTGGTCTTTCCTCCTCATCTGTCACCATCTATCATGGCTTTACTTTACTTTATCTCTGGTCCCCTGACCCACACTCACTACATGTATATTCTCCAGCCTGCACAGAAGAAAATGTAGGGAAGAAGGTAAGTGGGGCTTTCATACCCCAGGGCACCTCCCACTACCACCTCCTCTTCTGCCAATGAAAAGAGTTAGAAAATTAAGAATAAGTCAAAGGTCAGAGTCCTCTTTGGTTATTAGATAACTCACTCCAGAGAAAGCAAAGAACGCCCCGGGAGCTGAGTAGTGCCCCTGAAGAGCCTTGAGAACTATCAGAGAACTTACTTAGCCCCTTTCAATCCCCAAAATATAAATCATAACTCCAGGGCTAGATAATGAAGGGAGATTCAAGTGATAGAGAAGACTGCCTTTAAGAAACACCCATAGACATAGTAGCCCTCTGGGAAATGGATATAAAATACAAAGATAAAGAGATAAAGAAACCAAGGCAAATTAATGTATATGTTTGTTTGGGTTTTTTCAAAGATTTTATTTATTTTTGCACAGAAGAACTGGGGTATAGGCCAGAGGTACAGGAGGTGAGAGCATTCACCAGAGACAGAGTGGGGAAACAGGACAGGCAGATCTAGGGCCTCCCTGGTTCAATCCCCGGCCGGCCAGGGAGGTAACAGACTTCTCCTGTCTCACCTGCTGCTCCCCTCAGCAGTGTATTTCAGTCAGTCTGCCTGTTCTGTTCCCTACTCTCTCTAGTGAATCCTCTCACCTCCCATACCTCTGGCCTGTACCAGAGTTCTTGTATGAATGAATAAATAAATCTTTTTTTTAAAAGATTTATTTATTTATACAAGTACTGGGGTACAGTCAGAAGCACAGGAGGGTGAGAGAATTCACCAGAGCCAGAGTGGGGAGCAGAACAGGCAGACAGACAAAGTACACCGCTGAGGGGAGCAGAGGGCGCGGCAGGAGAGGTCTGTGCACCATATGGGACCCTAGCCAGCAGCCGGGGATCAAACCAGTGCTGCAGCGGCTGCAGGCAGCTTCGCAGCCAGCGCTCAACCGCTGCACCACCGGGGAGGCCCCAATAAATCTTTTAAAAAACAAATGAACAGGAGGATCTACTGAAACACACTGCTGAGGGGAGCAGCGGGTAAGACAGGAGAGGTCTGCTGTGCCATGTGGGTTATCTCCCTGGCTGGGATTGAACTCAGTCCATAGAGGTGATACTGCTGAGACTTAACCTCTAGGCCACCAAGGAGGCCCAAATTAATGTATAATGTCATCTAATGTCTAGTGTATCTACTGCCTAAAATTTCAAACAACACTAATAAGCCTACCAATGTGATAATTGCAAAATCAGGAGCTTCCAACTGAAGAACTGCCAAGTAAGAAGACATCATAAATACTATATAGTAACAATATAATGTTTCTTATGTAAGATAATGGACATTTTCAGTCAGAAGGGAAGGTGGGAATTTAAATTCTAGGAAGAGAACACCCAGTCAGGGGCTGAAAAAACTCCCTAAGGGCTGGGAAAGGAGGTAGCCATGTCCAGAGACAATGCCAGAAGCCTGACATCTTCTACAAAAGGAGTCCCCATGCCAATGCTTTGGCATATCTCCTATCAAGCATCTAATCAACTGCCTTCCCCAACCAAAGGTCCCAAGTAGCTTTAATAGTTTCTGGTCTACCACCAAAGTCAGTGGGGATGCAAGGCGCTCTTTTCAGAATTCCCCAAGCTGGACTGTGTCACTTTCATCAAAGTATGAGCTACCTGCAGTACAAACTGAGTACATGTAGGCAGAGGGAAGACTCAGATGATGTACATGTCATCAAGCCTTCCTTGTCTGAATGAAGGAGGAAAACAGACAGTGGAAGGGAGACAACAATGGCTTGGAGGTGACGAGAGAAGTGTGTTGGCCAAAATGGAGACTAGAATGAGATTCTAGGTACCAGTGTTCTAGGAACACTGAGGTGCCACTTGCTACAGGGCACAAGTCACCTTTCCTCCCCAGTCTCAATTTGGAGGCCCTTTAAGTGAAGGTTTCACCATCATCCCCGCCCCAGAGCATTTGTCACCCAGACTTCCAAGGTCATGTCTACACTACTACTGAGACAAAGAGACACTGTGATTCATTGAATACCTATTACCCATGACCCATGTCATCCCTACACTTAGTCTGTGTACTGTTACATTTCTGCTTAGTTGGTAAATGGAGAGTTAAGAGGGAAAAGGCCCAAGGTCATGCAGTTGGTCAAAGGTGGAGACAGGCTATCTGCTCTACTCTGCCATGCCTTCTACTCCATGTTCCAAAGCCAGGTCACTCCCACCTGTGGGAGGCAGGATTAATGCCCTCATGACTGCTGGTCACCCAAAGGTTAAACATAAGCTCCTAGCTATGCAGATGCCCAGGGATTTCTCTCAGCTTTGATCCAGAGAGACCAAGAGCTGCCTCTGCTTTCCCAGTGTGCTGTGGAGTAACCAGGCTGAGTGCCTGGACAGACACATTGTCATTTCAGCACAAATTCTCCTTGCATACCAGCATGCAAAGTTCCTTCAGCTAAAGTTACCTTCTCCCAGCTTAACCAGTCCAACTTCTCTATGGTTCTTCCCCAAACCTTATTTGTGGGCATGGCTCCAATTCTAAATTTTCTCCAATTCTAAATTTTCTCCCATCTTCTTATACTGCTCAGGCACAAAGGTTGAAATGCTTCCTATGGAGATCCGCCAGATGACCCAGGGTGTCCCAAAGTCATCAAGTGAGACATTGGGGTGGAGCTCCCACTACCCTCGATGTGGAAAGGAACAAACTGGCCCAGGCAGATACACCTCCTCTCCACTTCCACTTGCCCTGTTCCAGAAAAATCACATCAGACTCTTTAGTAGGTTCGGAGATAAGATTAATGTTTAGGAGAAGGTAGTGTCACTGAGAAAGCAGGATCATACAATGGAAAGAATACTTGTAGTCAGGATGTCCACGTTTGAGATCTACTCCCTTTACTTACTAGTAGGATTGGATCCAAGTCACTTAATTGAAATTCAGTTTCCTCATCTTTGAAATAGAGTTAATAAAGCCTGCCATTGCTATTTAACAGTGAGGTACAAATCATATGAACTACTACGTGAACAGCATTTTGTTGAGAGAAAAGCATTTCTATCACCGTAGAGAGCTCTGGTGGATAGCACTGCTTGAAATCCTTGCGGTTCAGAGTGGTGCACAGGCATCAGCATGGGGCATCCCCGGGGAAGCCTTAAGAATACAGAACTATAGGATGCACTCCAGACCCGCTGAATCACAGCCAACATTTTACCAAGATCTCCAGGTGATTAGTATATGTGCCAGGGTTTGGAAAACACTACTTTAAAGACTGTGAGCATTATAACAATGATAAAAGCTATGCTGGGCCCATTATGACTAGACTAGGAATCCCCAGTGGATCCTGACTTGTCACCAGAACTCAGCCCAGTGATAATCACTAGATTTACTCAGATCTTCTCTTTCAACCACCCCATCATCAAAGTAGATCAATTTCTACAGCTTCTGACAAGATTAGGGTTTGGTGCTCACTTTTCAGCTGGAAAGAAACTCTTTGTTTCCACCCTCTGTTCCTCCTACTGCTTCTACTACGCATGTGCAAGGAGATATCTCCCATATGAACAGTGAATATATTTACATGCGCACCCACGAAATGAAATATGCCCTTCCTTAGGCAAGTATCCCTGGCGATGCCCGCCCCCCCCGCCCCTCCCCAGCTCCTCCCTGGAAATAATCCCTTCCCTCCCGTAGGATGAGATTTCCACTCATCTTTCCTTTGGTCTTCTACAGGTACCCACGTGATCCCGTATCACAGACACCACATGACAATCCTCTCCACCTGCTCCACGTGACACCCCCTTTTTGTAGCTTCAGTCGGGGCCCCTAGCACAGCAGCCTCTGGGTCCTCGGCCACGCCGCTCGCCACGCTTCTTTCATTGTCAGCCAACCTCCTGCTCCTCCGACGGGAGGAGACGCCCCGCAGGAGTCATCCTTCAGCCCCAAAACTGCGTGGCAGGCCCCCACGGCACCGCAGCCGGGCTGCGGACAGCCGCTGCCTCTCTGACAGGTCCAGGTCCTCAGAGACCACAGTCCTCGCGCACCGCAAGGCGGTGTTTTCTCACCTTCTCAAATCAGGGCGGTTCCGCCGCGTCTGGGGCGAACTCCAAGTTCGGATCTCTAGGCTGCAGCCCCCACGCTAGCCTCTGTTCCCGGCGACTCCGGGCCTCGGGTCGCATCTTCCTCCATCTCGACCCGGCTCCGGGCACTGCCGGAACCGGAAAGAGACGCTGTCATTCCTGCCTCTGCGGGGGCGGGGACGAGCCGGGGACAGTTTCACCAATAGCCTTCGCGGTCTCCCCCGCCCCTCCCCGCCCGGCGGCAGGAGCGGGCGGCCCGGAGGACATCTTAAATTCGGGCAGAAGCCACGCCTACCCTGGCTTAGCGGTGCCCTCGGCTCTACTGCGCGTGCGTGCCCTTGCTCGCCGGGGGTTGGCCGTGACCCCGCGTTCTCGAAGATTCTCTTCCAAGTGGGTCACCTTGTGTTTCGGTCTGTTGGAATCCTTCAACCCAAATCTAATTTGTGTTTTTTTGGTAACCTTTCTCATCCGTTGATGAGAAAGCTAAAACAGGAGGCCAATATGCAGCAGGAAAGACTAAGGTTAGACCATCAATTTTGAAGTTTAGGAACTCAAAAAACTGCAGGAGTAGGGGACATTAGTGGAGGTCGACCAAATGACAATTAGGGTCTCTTCCAGCTCTGTAACTATTTGCCTGTACATAATGTGAAAGAAGAGGAGGAGAGATTTAAAGGAAGGCGTGGGAGGCCTGAGGTGGTGAGTCAGTTCATTTCAAAAGAGTATTTCACAATTCAACACGAAAAGACAAACAGGTCACCTGAATAAATGCGACCACAGCTTGTCCTTGTACTGGCTGGAGCACAGGGGAAAGTTCAACTCTGGACTTGTACAACTTGTTAGGGGGAAAAGGATGTCCTAAAGCTAATTCCATACAGGCTTTGTGGACTCCACCCCCACCCCAGGCCAAAGCCAAAGACACTGGGAACTCCAAATCCCATCACCACCAGAGGGAAGGTGGCCTGGACCTGAGGGTGGGGTTAAGCAGCCAGGTTGGTATAAAGCCAGACACGTGGGCTATGGAGGGGTCCCCCATTTTGGCTCTCCGCCAGCTCGCAGGGTCCGGCCAGCTCCGAGAGTGACTTTGGGTTTCCAGGTCGTCGGATCGGGTAGGACGCGTTAAAGACTTTATTTCCCTATTTTCTCCCTGAGTTGTACATTTTCCTTATTTCCTTTTCTCTTGTAAATAAACCTTTTATTAACCTTTTGTGTGTGTCTGTAGTAGAGTATTCATAAGTCCCTTTTAAGCGCACGGGTGAGGACCCACAGCCAGGAACCCGTTCAATATCGGGGCTGCTCTATAACAAACTGACCCAGAGGAATCTATAATGCTTAAAGCAAGGAGAGCTTGCTGTGCATTCCTTGTTCCAGGTACAGATTTTGAGGTGCACACAGGAAAGTCTGTCTGGATGTACTAACTGTAGACCAGTGCCCAAGGAACACACTCCTGATTCAGTGCCTTTTCCACAGGCAGATGATGCCTGGTTGGGGGGGGGGGCAGAGATTAGGGGACTCACAGAGAGGAAATCTGGAAGGGTGCTCTTAACAGTAAAAGCCAGGGGGCCTCCCTGGTGGCACAAGGGATTAAGCATCAGCACTATGAAGCTATCCACAGTCACTGCAGCACGAGTTCAATCCCTGGCTGGCCAGGGAGCAACCCACATGGCGCAGCAGACCTCTCCTGACTCGCCCGCTGCACCCCTCAGCTGTGTACTTTGGTCAGTCTGCCTGTTCTGTTCCCCACTCTGTCTCTGGTGAATCCTCTAATCCCCTGCCCCCTGCATCTCTGGCCTGTACCCCAGCTCTTGTATGCATAAATAAATCTTTTTTAAAAAAGAAAAAGCCACAGCAAAAGCGTGAAAATAGGATGGCCCATGTGTGAAGGTTACACAGAGGTCAGGGTCTAGTTCAGCAGTTGGGGGTTTATGGGTAACCTTGGAATCGTTTGAACAGAGGTGGAGAAGCCAGACCACAGGGGATTAAAGAAGGTAAGGAAGGGCATCTCTGGTGGCGCAAGGGGTTAAGATGCAGCACTTTGAAGCTATCAGCAGCCATTGCAGCAACCAAGTTCAATCCCTGGCCAGGGAGCTACCCACATGGCACAGCAGACCTCTCCTGACTCACCCACTGCTCCCCTCAGCAGTGTATTTCAGTCAAATCACCTATTCTGTTCCCCACCGTCTCTGGTGAATCCTCTCATACACACCCCCCACACACCTTTGGCATACACCCCTGCATACCCACACAAGAGTATGCATAAATAAATAAATCTTAAAAAAAAAAAAAAAGAGGGCCTCCTTGGTAGCACAGGGGGTGGAGCACAACACTGTGAAGCTGTCCGCAGCCTCTGCAGCGCGGGTTTGTTTCCTGGCCTGCCAGGTAGATTCCCAAATGGTGCGGCAGACCTCTCAGCAGTGCTTTTAGTCTGTCTGCCTGTCCTGCTCCCCACTCTGTCTCTGGTGAACCCTCACACCCTCCCGTGCCTCTGGCCTGTACCCCAGCTAGTGTATAAATTTAAAAAAAAAAGAGTAAGGGAGACATGGGTGGGGGAGGCAGCCAGACAATCTTGGTGTTTGATGGTAACAGGAAGCCAGTGGGGGTAGATGAGACAGGTTGAAAGGGCTGCTGCTTTTTTTTTTTTTTTTTTAAGATTTATTTATTTATTTATATAAGCACTGGGAACAGTGAGAAGCGCAGGAGGGTGAGAGAATTCACCAGAGCCGGAGCAGGGAACAGAACAAGCAGACTGACGAAACACACTGCTGAGGGAAGCAGCTGGCGCGGCAGGAGAGGTCTGCGTGCCATGTGGGACCCTCGCCGGCGGCCGGGGATTGAACCGGTGCTGCAGAGGCTGTGGGCAGCTTTGCAGCCAGCGCTCAACCGCTGCTCCACCAGGGGAGGCCCAAGATTTATTTATTTTTATACAAGAACCGGGGTACAGGCCGGAGATGCAGGGGGTGAGAGGATCCACCAGAGACAGAGCGGGGAACAGAACAGGCAGACAGACGTAATACACTGGTGAGGGGAGCAGCGGGCGAGACAGGAGAGGTCTGCTTCGCCATGTGGGATTCTCGTCGGCCGGCCGGGATCAAACCCATGCTGCAGAGGCTGCGGACAGCTTCACAGTGAGGCGCTCAACTGCCTGCGCCACGGGGAGGCCCCCCCTTTTTTTTTATAGGGACCTAGCACACCTGAGAACACCTAGCACACCTCTATTGGGGACAGGGCACAGACCAGCAGACAGGAGGTGAAGTTGGACAAGAGAGATGTGTGGCCCAACAGCTCCTAACAGTGTTGGGGCTGAAGAAAGGACTATGGCGCTGGAGCTCAGGGTGCAACTGTAGGGCAGAAGCCAGAGAATTATCTCACAAACTAGCCCTTCCCCAAGCTGATGTCCTCAGAATGCCTCCTCCCCTTACACCTACCAACCCTCTGCTAGGGTACTCTGCTCCCCCAAAATAGAAACAAGTCATCAACTTTGTCTTTTTAATAAAAAATAAACTGTGTGACAAGCAGCTTTTTGAATCCCAAAACAAAGGAAAAGGGAGTGGAGAGAGGGCATGACGTCAGTCAGGGTGAAGAAGTGAACAAGGCTCAGACCACGCCTGCCATCCAGCTAGGCCAGAAGGGAGCCAGCCTGCCCCAACTGAAACAAGAAGGAAAGTCAGGGACATCTGCCCTGGAGTCAGGGCCACTGCTGATAACCAGAGCAGGAGGGGCAGCTCCCTGAAGAGCCCTTGAGATCCCTGGGAGAGGGGAATGTTGGTCTCCAAGGCAGCAGTTGCTTTCGGGATGGAGTCTCCAGAAGCGGCAGGTATATGTTTTTTTGGATGTCTGGTATTTCTTATCACAGCGTTCTGGAACAGTCGGGTCTCCTGGAGTAGATGTTTCTGGAGGGTCTTGGAATGACCAGAACCCAAGGATCCTCTGCAGGTCCTTCTATCATGGCCTAGATCCAGGGCCGGGAAACCCTGTTAGAGTCCGTGTGCTTGGTAGGAGAGAATCCAGTGGGAGAGTCACTGAGTCCAGTGGGAGACCCCACTGAGTGAAGTCTTGGTGGCACAGAGGCAGGAGAGCTCTTCTTGTGGGAAGGTGTTTTTTTTTTGTGCTGCTCCCACCTGCACTACCTCACAGCCTCAGCCTGTGTCCAGAGTTTAAGCCACCTCGGTGCCCAGACGGTTGTTGTCGGCATCCACAGCATTGGCAGAGGTCCTGTGCTCCTTGCAGGGGTGGAGGTGCTTCTCCTTGCTCAGTGGGGCCTTGTCCCCAGGGGGCAGTGTGTCACAGCCCTGGACCTTGCCCCGGGCTCGAAGGGCTCCCAAGGGGGAGGCGAGGAGGAGAATGAGAACCCCTGAAAGCACTAAGGCAAGGAGCACAGTAACGGTAAGGAAGTGGGGCCAGTAAGACCGCTGGGCAGCCAGGGCGGCCCCACCACCCACTCTGGTCAGAGGGGCCTCCACACGCTCCCGTGGAATGCCCGCCAGTTCAGGATCCAGGGCCAGGGGCTGGTCCTCGCTGTCCACCCAGTAGGAGACCACGGGGTATGAGAAGCCATTCTCTGTGGCCCAGCACTGATAGAGGCCCCCCACCCCATCCCGGAGGAGGAGCAAGAGGGAGCCATTGTAGACAGTGGAAGAGGCTCCCGGGACGGCGGCTGTGCCGTGACTCCAGCGGTAAGAGGCCAGGGCTGAGGGGTGGGGGCAGGGGAGCTCCAGGATGGAGTTGGGGGCAGCCAGGACTTCTTTAACTGTAGGTGAAGGAAAAAGACAAAAAGATGGAGGGCATGAGGGGGGTGCAGAGGAAGGCAGGAGAGAGTCTACCTTACATTTGGACCCAACTTTCCTTCCAACTCCCAAACAGAACTCTGACCGCTTCCTCATCTCAGGTCTGGACCCCTGACTGACCTCCAGCCCCCCTGACTCGAACACCAAAAGCAACTTTAACTCTTTAAGTCTTAGTTCCAGCTTAGAATTCCTTTCCCACCCCCATATAGCCAGGATCCAAATCCATCCCAACTCAGCGTGTTCAGGTCTCAAGTCAGACAGGTGTGAGGGGATAAACTGAGGCAGAAATGCCCCCCCCCCGCCCCGGATAGAAGTCTTCTGGAGGCTTTGCATCTTCCCCAGTCTCACACTCACTGATTTGGGGGCGTCTCTGAGGTGGTTGGCTCCTGGCCATGGGGCCACTGGCACATGCCCAGTCTGGGTTCCCGCGCTCCATGTCCTGCCTCCAGGACTTTCTGAGAAGGCAAGGAAAGAAAAATCACCCATTGAAATAGACAAAAAATGGTAAGCGGAGGAAGAGAGGGAAGGGTGCTGAGGAAGGAAGTGGGCAGTGGAGGGCAAGGGAGAAGAGAGTGGAGAACACAGAAACCCAAGGTGGCCGTAGCTGCTTCAAAGCTGCCTGGCACAACTGCATCCCTGGAGAAGCCCACCACAGGAAGAGGAAATCTTGGGGACAACTGTCAGTAACCCCTGGACAGAGGAAGAACAGGGGCAGAAACTGGGTTAGAAGGTCCTCAAGGGCCAGCTTCAGCGATCATCCAGGACTGGCACTCACGGGATATGTGTAGGTAGGAGGCGGCAGATGCTGGACTTAGGGTCCCAGGCACAGTGGGGGTCCCGGGCAAGGATACAGTCCACACAGCTCTCGTAGACACTACAGTTAGCTCGGGGAACCTTCCAAATGCCTCCTGAGAAGCCTGCAAACACTGCACCCTGGAACAGACAGAGAAAGTGTCAGCACGCCTCCACCACACCCAGTAAGGGCCTGGCGTCCCATGCTGCCCCCCCGGAAGGCATTCCCACCTGGATGGGAGCCAGCTGCAGGTTGCGAACAGGTTCAGGGTCAGAAAACAGCTGGATCTCTTCCACCAGATGAGCACCGCTGTCCCCACTCACCACAGCCTTGTGGAGAGACCCAGTGGCTGTGAAGAGACAGAGTGGAAATTGTCTCACCTCAACCACAGACCCCACTTGTGGCCCTCTCTGTCTCTAGTGGCCTCCCCAGCTCTAGAAACTTCTTTCTGAAGTATAATGTGCACAGGACACAGAATAGCCAGACCGTTCCCTCTCTGTACTGAGATAAGCTCCCCTGTAAATGGCTCAGAATCTTTATCCCTGACCTTCTGCAACTGCCTGGAAAAACTGTGTCCACAGTGAGTCCAGAAATCCACTTTCTCTATGGACACAAGGCAGTGGACAGAGAGCACTTCTGCAGGAAATCACATCACCAGCCTCCCTCACCTCCATCAAGTGTCTACTCAAAACGCACTTCAGTGAGTGTCCCCACCACCCTTTTAAAAATAGCAACCTCCCCAACTGACATTCCTGACCACTCTCCAGCTGCTCTACTTCATTTCCTGATCTCAGGGTACTACGTCACTGACTCCGTCGGTATGTTTATTGTCTGCTCCATGCACTCCACAAGGACTGACATTTCTGTCTGTTCTGGTCTTTACTGTATTTCCAAATACATGGATGGCTGCTACAGTAATGTGCTGAAAGTGAAGGAAGCTGGTGGATCCTTCCGCTACAGCTCAAGTTCATCCATCTTAGCTAGACCCTCTCCCCTTCTTTCCACAATGACTAATGGCATCCAACCCCTCAAACCTCCCTCCTTCCTACCTCTCAGTCTTAGCTCATGACTTTGAGCACCCCCTGCTTCATGAGAACGCAAGAAAGCCTTCACATAGGCACTCCCTCTGCTTCCTGCCCCCTCGAGTAGTCTGTATACTCCCACCTTACCCCTTCCTTACCCTCCCTCCCACCTCAGCAGAGGTGCCCCCTCTTCTACTCAAGGCCCATCCCTCACCTGTGTCCTACACTCTGCTTTCCTGCTCCCTCTGCAACCTTCCCTGCCAGTGATCCCCTCACCTGCCCATCTCTTCATCATTCCCCTCTACTGGATCCTTACAGTCGGTCTCATCTTTAAAGAAAGAATGCAGCTTGGACCTCACACCCTCCTCCAGGAACCCCCACCTCCTCTCTCCCCCTTCACAGCCAAGCATCCTCAAGGAGTCATGGGTACACTCTCTGCTTCCAGCTTCTCTATACCTACTCACTTGTCACCCCCAACAAGGTTTCCCTCTACAGGATAAACAGCTCTTGCTAAGGCCACCAAAGACCTCCGTGCTGCTCTCTCCCACCAGACTGGGAGCTCAGAAGAGGAAGGGATTGGGATGCTTTGTACCCACACTGTATTTTCAGAACATAGCAGGGTGTAGAATAGGTACTCAGCAAACATTTGTTTAACAAAGGGGTGACTGAATGAACTCAACCTGAGTCACAGGCCCTGCTCCAGCCCCAAGGATGTCCTGGAGCCCTGTACTCACTGGTGCCCAGGTACATGACCACATGGCCATGCCCATCAGTGCTCTGGGCTGTCTCCACTGCAAGTCGTGTGTACTCCACACCAGACTTCACCAGCAGGGGTATCCCCACCACCTGCTCATCCATCAGGAAATGGTCCTTCATGAAGGTCAACGCTCTGTCAGAGGAGGGGCCCACGGAGCACTGAAGGGGAAAGGGAAAGCAGGTAGGTCAGGTCAGCTTTTTCTTTCCAGTGAGCTCACCCCTCGCCTCCTCTCTCCCTCCCAGCCCCTTCTGCTAAACCCTTTGCCTTCCTCCCTCATGGCAGTCCCCCATCTCAGGAGGGTAATTAAAGCTGCCTGGCTTTGGACTCCAGCCTCCATGTGCCTGAGGCTCCTGAACATTGAAGGGGGCATATGACCACTTCATCCTAGGATTGTTGAGGGGATGAAAAGCACTAATACATGAAAGTCATTAGATCAGTGCTTGGTCAAGTATTCAACACTTGTGAGCTGTTATCACCTTCCTCGCCATCACCACCTGCATCAAGGAGGCCTGGAAGCCAGCAGGAAGCAGGGTGAGGACACATGCTTTACTCCTATCTGTAGCCCCACGCATAACACAGGACCTGGCATACAGTTGGTGCCCAACAAATGCTTGCCAAGTCAGCGACTGAATGCAGGCTGTCACCAAAAGGAGTGGTGTAGCAGGGAGTGTTTCTCATCATGGTTTTGCATGAGCTTGTGGCACGACTCTGAGAGTCTCCTTTTTCCATTCTGGGCACCCATAAAATGAGGGGGTTGGACCGGCTGTTGTGTAAAGGCCCTGCCAATATGAGCATGCTGTGGCTCTGGAACACCTGTATCCTGATCTGCGGTCAGGATCCTTATCCTTCACACCCAAGAGCTGCCTTAGGCCAGCCCCCTCCTCCCCCCGGTCACCAGCAAGCTATGCCCTCAGACAACTTACTTTACCGCTATAAACCTCAATTTCCTCATCTGTAAAGTGAGGCAGTGACATCTACGTATCATTTTGATGCCAGAATGAGTATGCACTTACTCTCACTTTCCCCTAAAGAGATTTTTTTTTTAAAAAAAGATAAATCTACATGGAGAGGAAGCTAAAGCACCGCATTCTGGAGTTTGGAAAGCAAATGAACAAATAGTAAACCAGGAGAAAAAGGAATCTTCTTAAGCTAGCCCAGGGGGCCCAAAACACTCTCATTTATAAGGCAGATTTCCTAAAGTTCATGAACTAGTTGCCCCAGTCACTTTTGCAAGTGAGTTAAAAGAGGACCTGATAGAGATTATTTGAAAATTTAAGAAACAGATAGACCTTCTCCCAGCTCCATGGAGCTGGTTACTGACCCTCGAAACCATGACCAAAACTGGAGGTTTTACTCTACATGTTAGGGGGAAAGGATGTCCTGAGCTAATCCCACACAGGCTTTGTGGACTCCACCCCCACTCCAGACCAAAGCCATCAGGACATTGGGAAAGACAAATCCCATCACCACCAAAGGGAAGGTGGCTGGGACCTGAGGGTGGAGTTAAGCAGCCAGGGTTGGTATAAAAAACCAAACACGTGGGCCTTGGGCTTTCTTGCTCTGTCGCTCGCCTCCTGGCTTCATGGCTCCTGGCTCGTGACCAGCTCTCAGAGTGCCATTTGGGATTCCAGATCGGCAGATCGGGTAGGACACATTTAAAACTTTGTCTCCCATTTTTCTCCCTGAGCTGTACATTTCCTCATTTCCCTTGTAAATAAACCTTTTATTAACCTTCTGCGTGTGCCTGCAGCAGAGTATTAATAAGTCCTTTTAAGCGCGTGGGTGAGGACCCACAGTCAGGCACCCCATTTTGTATCAGGGCTGCCCTATAACATATACAGAGGGTAAAGAGAGGGTCTCTGCATGGACGGCAGCAGGTATAGTTGAGGAAGGACCCTATCATGACAACAGGAGGGCCAGGTGCAGGTAAACACAGAAGCTTCAAGATATTCTCCGTACACACAATCTTCATCCCTATGCTTCTAGACATTAGGAGCCAAACCACCTCTCTCCAAGCAGAAGACTAGAAGAGTCAACTCTGGGAAAGTTGATGAACAATCCAAGAAAAAAAAAAAAAAACAAAGACAGTGACATCAAAGGTCCCCAACAAAACAGCACCATCAGACACTCCTCAGTGAAGTTACTATGGAGCCCAACTTGCCAAGTCATACCCACAGGTAGTTTCCAAATAACTTCATGGTTCCCTATTCTTAAATATGACTAGATAGCCAAGGATCAGCAGATATGTGCATATAAAACCATGAACGTGAAGAGACCAACACAAACAACAAAAACCTAAAAGGAAACAGAATTGATTCAAAGAAAGGGTAGCTTCACAGCAAACTATCATTACTATCTTAGAAGAGATAAGTGCTATTACTGTAATTGTGAAACAGAAAGGGAAGTGAGATATTGCATGTCCTGAAGGAAAAGCACACTAACTACCTCCATGAAGTAGACTTATGCCCAAAATCAAATTTCAATCTGATTAAGTCCAGCCAATTTACAGAATATACAGAGGTAAACCAAACTGAGAAAAACTTTATATGACAAATAAATTGCAAAAGAAAAAAGAAGCTGGAAAGGGAACACATAAATTAGAAGAGACTTAAATGAACAACCAGTCCAAATGGATAGATCTTATCTGGGTCTTGATTCAAATAAACATTGCTTTTTTAATTAAACAATTAGAATGAAACACCAAATGTAGATTAGACTACATGCAGATTATTTAGTTTTTAGGTGTGATGATGGTACTATGGCTATGAATTTGTTTTATAACCATGTCTTTTGGAGAAAATACTAAAATATTTATGGATGATATAGTGAGTTGAATTATTCTCCCCCTGCCCCTGAAATGATATGTGCATCTAAAACCTGGGAATGTGACTTTATTTTCAAAAAGAGTCTCTTTAGATATCATTAATGATCTGAAATGAGATCATTCTGGATTGCAGAGGGCTCGAAATCCAATGACAACTGTCCTATCTATAAAAAGGACACTTCTTATAGAAGTGGAGGAAACACACAGAGAAAGCAAAGCGATGGCAGAGACAAAGATTGGAATGGTGTGTTTCTAAGCCAAGGAATGCCAAGGATGACCAACAGCCCAGCAGAAGGTAGGAGAGGGTCATGGAATGGATTCTGCCTCAGTCTCCAGAAGGAACCAGCTCTGCTGGTGCTGATGCTTTGATTCAAAGTCCTGGTCTCCAGAACTATGAGGGAACATATTTCTGTTATTTTAAAACCACCAAGTTTGTGGTAATGTATGTGACAACCAAAGGAAACTAATATAGATGAAATGATATGTTATTCAGAATTTGCTTCAAAATAATAAGGGCAGAGTGGGTGGGGTACAAATAAAACAAGTTGTCTTGTTTGTTTGTTTGTACAAGCACTGGGTACAGTCAGAAGCTCAGGAGGGTGAGAGAATTCACCAGAGCCAGAGGGTAGAGCAGAGGAGGCAGACTTACAAAGTACACTGCTGAGGGGAGCAGCGGGCGGAAGGAGAGGTCTGCGCGCCATGTGGGACGCTTGCCCGGCGGCCGGGGATTGAACCGGCGCTGCAGAGCTTTGCAGCCCAGCGTTCAACCGCTGCACCACAGGAGAGGCCTTAAAACAAGTTTGATTGGCTCTAACTTGAAGCTAACTGGTGGCTATATGGAGTTCCATTATATATTTATTTATGTTTAAAATTCTCTATAATTGAATATTTAAAAAAATATGTTCAAAAATTAAAAAAAATCCAGGAAATTAAATATTTTGGCAGAAATGTAAAATCTGAAAGAAGGACCAGAAAGAAGATAAAGTTGAGACACTTTGAGAAAATAAAACAAAACCAGACATCTGGAAAACAGGAAAAGACTTAAAAGTTAGAGGATCAGAACAGGGTATCCAGGGGCCTCCCTGGTGGCACAAGGGGTTAAGTCTCAGCACTACGAAGCTATTGGCAGCCACTGCAGCATGAGTTTGATCCCCAGCCAGGGAGCAACCCACATGGTGCAGCAGGCTGCTCCTGTCTTGCCTACTGCTCCCCGCAGCAGTGTATTTCATTCAATCTGCCTGTTCTGCTCCCTACTCTGCCTCTGGTGAATCCTCTCACCCCTCCAACGCTTTTGGCCTACACCCCAGTTCTTGTATGCATCAATAAATAAAAATAAATACTAAAAAAAGAACAGGGTATCGGGCCTCCCCGGTGGCGCAGCGGTTGAGCACTGGGTAGCGAAGCTGCCCGCAGCCTCTGCATGCCAGTTCGATCCCCGGCCGCCGGGCGAGGGTCCCACATGGCACGCAGACCTCTCTGCCACCCGCTGCTCCCCTCAGCAGTGTATTTCGTCAGTCTGTCTGTTCTGCTCCCTGTTCTGGCTGTGGTGAATTCTCTCACTCTCCCACGCTTCTGACTGTACCCAGTGCTTGTATAAATAAATAAATAAATAAATAAATAAAACTTTAAAAAAAAAAAAAAAAGAACAGGGTATCCAGAAAGAAGTGAGAAAATACTAACATTAGGATATCAACTACATAAGGAAGGAACTTTTGTCTGTTTTGTTCACTGCTGTATCTCCAGTACATAGAAGAGTAGCACTTGACTTCAAAAAATATTTGTTGAGGCAAAGAGGGGTCTCGCTGGTGGCGCACCCACTCTGTCTCTGGTGAATCCTCTCACCCCCACACCTCTGGCCTGTACCCCAGTTCTTGTATGCATAAATAAATAAATCTTTAAAAAAAAAAAAAACAGAGGAGGAAGTAGCTTGGGAAAACTTAGAACTGAAAGAATTAAATTTGCATGGTGAAGGGACAAATTGTGTGCCCAGTACAAATAAGTGAGTAAGAGCCCAAATAAACCACAGCATCATGAAATTTAACCACCAGAGATAAAGAAATGGTACAACAAGATGAGAAAATCAGGGATCAGAATAGCTTTGGAGTTCTCAGCAACGGCACTGGAAGATTATTCCAAATCTTCATGGAAGATTATTCTAGTCTATCTTCATGGAAGGTATACCTATACCAAACTATCAAACGTGAAAGTAAGAGTACTTTTTCAGACATTCAAAGTCACAAAGAAAATGTAGCCATGTATCCCTTTCCATCTGCCAATAAAATGAGGTAAAAGACAGTAAGAGGAAGCCAGGGGATGCAGGAAACAAGCTCGTCACAAGAAAGAGGCAGAGGGAATGCCCAGAATGACAAGGAAGGGAGATTCCAGAATGACAACTGTGCTCCAGACCATGGCCCAAGGGAAGGTTCTCTAGGAAGATGAAACTTAGAAAAACTAAGGGGTCTGTCTTGAGAAGAGACTCATATAATTGAGGATGAGTTTGGGGCTGAATTAAAGATAAGCACTTAGAGGAACCTCCCTGGTGGCGCAAGGGGTTAAGCACTGCACTATGAAGCAATCCATAGCCTGTGCAGCACAAATTCGATCCCCAGCCAGCCAGGGAGCTAACCCACATGGCGAAGCAGACCTCTCCTGTCTCGTCCACTGCTCCCCTCAGCAGTGTATTTCAGTAGACCTGCCTGTTTCCCCACTCTCTCTGGTGAATCTTCTCACCCCCACCCCCTGCACCTCTGGCCTGTACCTCACCTCTTGTATGCATAAATTAATAAATCTTTAAAAAAATAAATTTTTAAAAAAGATAAACACTTAAAAAACAACACAAACGAACAAACAAAAAAACATGGTAATTACTACTCCCAGGGAAAAAAATATGCAAAAAGGAAAATTAATCATGGTTTACTACCTTGCTCGGTTGTTTATAATAACAGTGAATATGTAAATATTGATCTAACCAAAATGACAATGAAATGATGCTGGGAGATTAGGGGTGGGTGCAGTGGTGTGTTGGGAGGTGGCTGTGAGGTGGGTTTTGGGGTTCAGGGGCAAAACCGTAGTACTGGCCAATTTCCAGACGGTATACTCTCATCAGGGTTGATTTCAAGTTCCCAGTGTAATGTCACTGAACACAAATTTGAAAGAGATATGCCAACAGTTCTTGCTAGTTGCTGCAACCCAAGCTCCAGCATGTCTCTGGGTGGAGGTGGGAGTCAGGAACACAATGAAATCCTCACTCTTCAGAATGAGAATTGATAAGATACTGTCTGAAAATAAAACATTAAGAAGTAGCAACACCCAGGTATTTGAAGTGCAATTAGCTGGGGCATTGGGGGTTTGATTTGTGTGTAGGATGGCGGTTGGACACCTGTGGAATATGGATAGCTGGAGCGGGTGTATATCTGACCAGACAACACTAGTGTGTTGGAGGGGGTGGGAAGAGCACTAACATTTACTGGGCATTTTTCATATCATGATAGGTTCTTTACATGTATATTATGTGTGTGTCTGTGTCTGCGTAGGCTTTGCTCAGTGCGAGGGGTGGTACTCACGCTGCCTGGCCGGGGATCGATATCGGAAAACCCAAAAGTAGTCCAACGTGAAGTCTCTTTGTTCAGTTCCTTGTATTTTCCCTCAAAGACACGCTTGATGTCCTCAAGAGAGAAGGCACAGACAGCTGAGCTCCTGGTCCCGCCGCTCTCCCTGGAGATAGCCAAGAAGGGGACATTGTGATCTCAGCTATACCAGAAAGTTCCCTCTCCAGCCTCTGTGAAAAACCCTAGGGGGAAAGGAGTGTGGGGTTTCAACCAGCTGCCTCTCCTTTTCCCAGCACCCCAGGGCTAAGGACTAAGATAGGCCCTAACTCTGGCCCAACTTAGGATCTGAAATTTAATTATCTTTAATGGGAATAAATTGGGGCTCAGACTCTGGGGTGGCTGGCTCTGGTACTTCTCAGGCTGGGCTACACCAAAGGGAGAGGCAGTATAACCAGCTCCTGGTAAGACCAGGAAACCCTCTTCCTTTGGGTGCCTGGGCACCAGTCCTCAGAGAACCAATCAAGGTCGACAAAATGATTTTTATTCCTTCAGTCATGGTCTGAGGAAACAAAAGGTCTACCTGGCACCTGACACTTGTGAGCCGGTACCTAGACATTGTGGGGCCAGACTTACACCATGGAACTTTAGGCAAATAGTTAACCTTTCCCAGTTTCCAAGTAATGACTTTATTTTTATGTGATGATGTTGGTAGCTCTTTGCTCTATTAATCAGGAAGTGCAGAGCTAAATTTGAGACCAGCATCCAATGATAAACCACTTGTTAGGTGCTGACCCTCCCTTAGTTTTTCTTATTCTCCTTTTATTCCCATTTCCCTGGCAGTTTTATTTTACTTTAATTTTTGTTTTTTTAAAGATTTATTTTTATTTATTAATGCATACAAGAACTGCGGTGTAGGCCAGAGATGGCGGGGGAGAGGGTTCACCAGAGACAGAGTCGGGAGCAGAACAGGCAGATCTACTGAAATACACTGCTGAGGGGAGCAGTGAGGGAGACACAAGAGGTCTACTCCACCATGTGGGTCACCTCCCTGGCCCGGAATGGAACTCATGCCGCAGTGGCTGGCCATAGCTTGACAGCACTGTGAATTAAACCCCTGTGCCACCAGGGAGGTCCTACTTCAATTTTTGTCTTCTGTAAGATGCCTCCTTTTTGTAACTAGGCAAGATACAAACTACAAGGACCTCTCTGAGTTTTATTTTTCCCCTCTACATGAAGGACGTAGGTCAAATTCCTGGGAGATATGTGCTCGGCTCAGGTCAGTTCCTAGTCCCTTGGAGACTCGGAAACACAGGTGCTGACCCGCATCTGGTGTCCAGTCCCCACGTTCCTACGGCTCACCACTGAGAGGTGAAGACTGCGTAGACCTGGGAATCGGAGGGCAGTAAGACGGCATGGCGGATGATGTTGAAGGGCAGTTGTCCAGACTGGGCGCAGAGCAGCTGGGCCTTCAAGAAAGTAGTCCACTTCTTCTGCAGCACCTTCTCGCCACCCACGTCATTCTGGGGAGAGCGGCCAGACTGAGTCAGGGGGCGCCCTCTGGCCTCGCAATCCCCGCCCCTTGCCTCTTCTATCCCAGCTCCGATTGGGCCTTAGATTCTAAGCCCCACCTCTACCACCTCCCCCAGGGGCTCCACGCGGCAAGTGCCGGCGCCCACCCGAGCCACACACCTTGCAGACTCTGGCCACCCGAGAGGTGTGGAGCTTCTCAAAGAATTCAAATTCGCTGGCAGTCTCCTCGAAAAAGAAGTAGACGACCTCGGTGGAAGGGATGGCTGCCACAAAAGAGGCATCCGCTGCAGGAGTGAGGAAGAGAGGCTTAGGGATTGGGCACCTGATAACCCTGATTTCCCTGAAACCCTTGGGTTGGCTCTGGGGGCCCAAAGATTGGTTGCTTTGAGTGCCACAGCTGTCCCAGGAGTAGCCACTGGGGGAGGGGCACTTCGTGGTGGTGCTGTTGCTTCTTTTTCCCCAAGATTTATTTATTTATGCATACAAGAACTGGGGTGTAGGTCAGAGGTGGGGCGAGTGGGCCAGTGAGAGGATTCACCAGAGACGGAGTGGGGAACAGGCAGATTGACTGAAGTACACTACTGAGGGGAGCCGCAGGCACGGCAGAAGAGGTCTGCTGTGCCATGTGGGTAGCTCCCTGGCTGGGGATCAAACTCAAGCTGCAGTGGCTGGCAACAGATCTGAGACTTTAAACCCTGCACCACCAGGGAGGCCATTGGTGCTTCTTTATATGAGATGAAAGCTCAGGAGGTGGGATGCTTTGCTCCTGGCTGTACCCCCTGTACCCTGCATGTAGTGCACCCTCAACATATGAGAGCTGAGTGAATTAACAGCACTTCAAATGCCAGGTCTCCAGGACTGCATGAAGGGAGGCCAAATTGTGCTGGGAGGGGTTCAGGTGCTTACACTGTAGCCAACGGAGGAAATTGTCGGTCTTGAGCACAGGCTGGGATCCCAGGGTTCGCATCAGGATAGGTTCACTGCCCAGGAAGTTGCTCATGGTGCCAGAATAGAGCATCCCATCTGGGTCAGAGGAGAGGGAGGGAGACCTAATCAGTTGGAGGGTGCCCAGGCCCTCTGACTGGGCCAGCGTGCACATCAGTCTCTGGCTTCTCTTTTTGTTCTACATCTTTCTGTGGAGTGCCAAAGTCCAATTCACAGCCCCATGCTGATCACCCTGTTTAGGTCGTCCCACGATAAACAGCCATTTCGGCACTCTGCAGGCTTTCTCTGGCTACTCCCTCACACACAGGGGGGAACCACTTGCCACCAGAATCACTCGTTCCCAAAGGCGCCTGTGTTTTCTGCTTCCACACCTTAGGCCCTACCCATTTCTTCCTGAATAGCTTTCCTACCATCTTTCAAGGTTACCCTCAAAAGGCCCCCTCTTCCAGGAAGCCAGGGTGAGAAGTCTGTAAAGGTTTGTGTCCAGGAGGGCACAGGGTCAGATTTCTTCTTTGTAACCCCCACAGTTCCCTGCATGATTCCTTGCTCCCCGGAGAAGTAGGGAGCACATCTGTTGAACAAACAACCAGATCTCAGGCCTCTTCTCTGCCAGAGACCCTTCCTGAACCCTCCTGCCTCTGTATCTCTCCACCTCCTTTGTAGCAACTTCAGCAGGAGTTGATGGTTGGAGTGCCTGGTAGTCCCTCTAATCTTGTGCTCTGAGGCTCCTGGCTTCCCCTCCCTCTGTCCCTGCCTTTCAGGAAACTGTCAGACCCCATGTTTCACAGAGTGACCTGGGAAAGCAGATATGGGATGCACCAAGGAACCTGATACTCACCTGTCAAGACAGCTGTGTGCTTGTGGGCAGGGTCGAAGGGGCTTTGACCTTTGCCATCCATGACCTTGTCCTCCAGGATGGGCAGCAGGTTGGAATCTTGGAGTTCCTAGAGGGGGGAAAAAGCTGGGGGGCCAGAACGCCAGCATCTCATGTCTGGGCCATGAGGGGTGTGAGGGAGGAAGGGAAAGGGACATAGAGGAAATCAGTCTGGGGCCAGGACGCTCATGGAGATCCTGCATCTGGACATTTCCCAGAGCTATGGAGGGTGGACTGGGAATCGATGTGAGGAGAGATGTTGGGGCCTGCGAGCTGGGTGTCAGGTAACTCACAATGAAGGTACAAAGAGGACTGAAGGCAAAGGTGCCGCAGGCGTAGAGATGCGTGGCGTTGAAGGAGACCAGGACACGAATAAAGTTGAAGCACTGTGTCTGAGGGAGACAAAAAACTCAGGCCTTCAGGACACTTGCTCCAAACTCCAGGCCCCAGAGGCTGCCCATCATTTCCTAGAGGGAAGAAGGACTGGGCTCTGCTAAGGCAGCCCCCATATATTTTTACAGAACTTGACAGGTAGCAGTCACGCAAACAATTGTCCTCCGCTGCCTGCCCAACCTGAGGTCATCCAGGGATGGTCTGGGGGCACCAGAGTTTACCATCTCCCCCACTTACCTCATTGCTCTTCTTCTTAAAGGCACATTCAGTCTTTTTTTTGTCACTGGCTGGCCAGGGTATCTGAAGTGGAGAGTTGGGGTGGGGGACAGGAAAGGAAATCAGGTCTCCAGGTCTAGCTTTGAATAGCCACCCCCTCTTGGCTCTGGTGTGAATCCCTAGCAGGCATGGTGGCGAGTAGCATACTGGTGGGCTTTAATAACATGGATTTATGACCATTTACTGTGATGATGCTGACCTGCCTTAGGATACAATTCCCTGGAAGAACTCGGGTCTATGGAATCAGACAGATCTGAGTCTGAATTTGGGCTCAGCCACTTACTGACTCAGTGACCTTGGTCAATTGCCCAGGCTCCTGGAGGACACGGATAGGTAGCATTTATAAAGCACCTAATGCAATCATGGCCTGCAGAGCAGGAGCCATCAAACCACACGTTTCCTGGGGAAATTGTTTAAAATGTCAACTCCTGGGACACACCTCAGAGAATCTGCCTTGTTAACTGGCGTGCCATCTCAGCAGGAGGTCCGGAAGCCATGGGTGGAGAAACACAGACCGTGGTGATGGTAAGTCATTGTTCCCTACTTCCCTCTCCCTTTCTCCCTCACATTGTTCCCATTAGTAGGGTGACTAGAATTTAGCACAGAAGCTTCAGTGATTTCTGCCTGTGGGTGGATATCATATTATTGACATAATTTGAGTCAATGTTTCTCTCATATGTCAGTGATTCCCACATCAACCGTTTTAGCAATTAATATTATTCAACCAGTATTCATGATCTACCAATGAAAAGCAAAGCCACTATCACATTTCTTGCCTGCTGGAGGACTGTATATATAACAAGTATTGCTGATTATTGCTGGTTATGTAAATAACAGAAGTCGCACTGTTCTTCATGCACAGGCAGCCCGGACACAGGCAGCTGCTGGCCCCCTCATCACTCTCACCCATGCCCTTTATCCCTGGCCTCCTCACCATGTTCTTCAGCCTTGGCACCCCTGGATCCTGGATATCCAAGGCCAGAATGGCTTCTCGAGCCCCCACGTAGAGAGTGCCTCCATCACCACTCAAGAGCAGAGTGTCAAAATCCCGGAGACCCTTCTGGTGGAAGAAGCTAAGAGCCCTGCGTCCATCCCCTGTTGGGAGGTGGTAAGAAGGGGTGAGTGATGAGGGCTGGTGGGTAGACAGCTGATTTCTGAGATAAGACAGGGGAGGGGAAGGGTTGGCAGAGCACTCTCCAGGCCTTGGCAGCTGGACCTGCTCTTCATCAGCAGCTCCCCACTCTGCCCCTCCCTCTGGCAGCCATAGGAACTCTGTGTGTTGAGCCCACAGTAGAGGCGAGGCAGGCAGAGACAGGGTAATGACAGCCAGCGACTGGGGGAGGATGGCCTGCACCCAAGGGACAAAGAGACAGGAAATAAAGTGTCCAATGGGGGAGTTCCAATGGGACTTTGGGGGCTCCAATGGGGGAGGACACCTTGGACCTCACTGACCAAGGACAGACAGAACAGGAAGGTGTCAGCAGCCACAGATAAGAAAGCTAGACATAGACAGGACTGTGGGTCAGAAGAGCTGAAGATTGTAGGTTTCACACATCCACCCTACTTCCTCCCCCTCCCTCTACTGCCGGAAATTTCCACTACTAGAATCACTGCGATAGGTTGAACAGAAAGGCAACACTTCTTTTCAGAAGTCCCTGTGGGCATACCTGGAAATCAGCTGGGCAGGGGAGGTGAGCTGGTTGTGGGGGGTTCACTTAGGTCCTCTCTACCCCTCGTGTGTGTGTGTGTGTGTGTGTGTGTGTGTGTGTGTGTGTGTCTCACTGGCACAAGAGGAAAGAGCTCCTTGAACCTTCTCTCCTGAGCACAGTGGCACTTTTGCATTAGTTAAGGGACTGACTAGCAAACTGGACCCTTTGGAGGCTCAGAGAATCTTAGGACCAAGAAGAAAGGATGGGGCCTCCCTGGTGGGGCAAGGGGTTAAGACGCAACCTATGAAGCTATCCACAGCTTCTGCAGCACGAGTTTGATCCCTGACCAGGTAGCTACCCACATGGCACAGCAGACCTCTCCTGGCTCACCCACTGCTTCCCTCAGCAGTGTGCTTTGGTCAATCTGCCCGTTCTGCTCCCCACTCTATCTGTTGAATTATCTCACCCCTCACACTCTGGCCTGTACCCCAGCTCTTGTATGCATAAATAAATAAATCTTTTTAAAAAAAGAAGAAGAAGAAGAAGAAAAAGAAGAAAAGATGGTGAATGGTGTGTGGGTGGAAGGTCAGGCTCCCCCAGAATGGTATCAACCTCTCAATTACCATACTGATCACCCTCTAGCATGATGGACTGCGCCTCTAACTTCCCTGGGTACTGTGAGCACCCTGAGGGCAGAAGCCGAGTCTTTTCTATATCAGTATTACAAGCACCAGACACCAAGGTGGCCTCTCCATCAACTGGCAACATGCATTTCTTTTATCATATTGCCCCAGAAAGATGCTAAAGACACAGCCATGCCCAGGAGACCTTATAACTCCAATAGAGTTCTTGTCCTCCCTGAATCCTCTCCCTGGAGGTGAGAGCACTAACAGCCTCCACAACCTCAGTAAGAAACCAGCCAGTTGCGACTCCCTGGTGGCGCAAGGGGTTAAGTCCCTACACTATGAAACTATATGCAGTCACTGCAGCAAGAGTTAGATCCCCAGCCAGGGAAGTGACCCACGTGGGGCAGCAGACCTCTCCTGTCTCACCCGCTGCTCCCCTCCGCAGTGTATTTCAGTCAGTCTGCCTGTTCTGCTCCCCGCTCTGTCTCTGGTGGACCCTCTCACCCCGTGCACCCCAGTTCTTGTATGCATAAATAAATAAATCTTAAAAAAAAAAAAAGAAACCAGCCAGACTGTGCCTACAGGGTTCCAGAGCCTGTACCCCTATGGGGCCACCCTAAGTCCTCATGTTCCTAGTGTGCACAGCACAGGACACAGTTGGCCTAGGGTGACCTGCGTCATTGGCATGGGCGGGGTGTGTCCTGGGTCGCCAGGTGCACAGGTGACATTCTGGCATGGGCCTCGGTCTTCAGGATGTGAAAGCAGTTAGGGATTTGGGGATTGAGGTGCCCAGTTTAACGACAGTGACATTTAAAGAGGGAAAGAAAAATCACCGACTTTGGAGAACCAGAAGGAGCAGTGCCCTGACCCTCTTCCCTCTCCTCAATCTTCACCCCGAGTGGGTTTCATCATCCTCCTAAATCAGTGTGAATTTCTGTCTCTGGCTCTTTCGCTTTCTCCCCCTCCCCGGCACATGTCTCCGGCTCCTTCCTCCTCCCCCTCCAACCCACGCTCCACTGACTGGCCATCAGACACTTACCTGCATAGTATTTGACCCTGGGCATGGGTTCCTGTCCACCACCCCCGGCATTCGTAGGCGGCAGCAGCAACAGAAGCAGCTGGAAGAGGAAAAGCCCCAGGAGGCTCCAAGGGTCCAGGCCCAGGGTGGGGAGGGCCATGCTCAGCCAGAGGCTGTCACCAGAAGGCTCTGGGGAAACAGGCAGCAGGGCACTCTGGGTGAGCAGTCCTCACCACATCCCCCCTCAGGACCAATCCCAGAGCCCCAGGCAGCAGAAGTGTGGGGTGGGGGAGGCGCGGGTTTTAGGGGAGGTGGCAGTTTCCTCTCCAGAGGGCCCAGAGTCTCACTTCCATCACCCTCACAGGCCTCAGCCTGTTGCCTCACTTGCCCGTCTGGGGAGCTGCCCAGCTCTTCCCCATCCTGCCTTTCTGAGCTTGTTACCAACAGCTCCACTCTACCTTTCCTCACCTTGAACTCAGGCAGTCCTTCCTACCCAGAGCCCAGAGCTTGAACCACTCTGGCCCGGGCCAGGGGACTTTCTGAGGAGCAGAACCCTGTACTCAAAATACAGATTCCACAGACCTGAAGCTCCTGTTGACACCGGTGCCACATGCTCGCCCCTGCTCTCTGATGACCCCACACACGTCTGGCTGGCCTGCTCTGACCCCTTCCCTCCCTAGCCCAGCCAGTTTCTGAGTCCTTCTGGCTCAGGCCTGCCTGTACCTCTTCTTGCAGAGAGGCCATGAGAGGACAGCCCTCCCAGGCCACGGCCCCGGGCAGGGAGAGGATGGCAGTCCCTTGGCCTCTAAGGCTGCCCCCTCAATCCCTGGTGTCTGTGGTCCTGCTCTGTCTCTGCATAATCATCCCCATACCTACCAACCCCCAATACCTGTCACATACCCTTGAGCCAGCTACCATGTGGAATCCAGGTATCCAAACTCCTGGGTGGAGGTGCCATCCAAGAGAAAGGAGAGGGTGCCCAGATCCCAAAAGACAGGGAGGACCGGGGACAGCAAGGCACGGGAGGTTGGAAGACTCACTCAGCCCGGCTGGGCTGGGAGTGCGGCCCTCCAGGTGCCCATAGTGCCAAAGCCAGCAGGGAAGCTCTGGGCCAGGGAAACCAGATTTTCCACCTCTCCAGTTGTGACAGATCCCTGGCTTGGGCGGAAGCTGGTGGATTGGGAGGGGAATAAAAAGAGACACACCTCTCTCACTTCCCCTCCCCTTGAGTCCTTCCATCCAGAAGACTTAAAAGGCCAGAAAGTTCCTAGGTTATTCCAGCCATTACCCTGCCCCTCTATCATGTCGCTTCTAGTGGAACTGACCTCGCAGTGACTGTCCTTTTGTTTGAGGTTTCCCAGAGGAGACGTGACACTTTATTTTACATTCCTCTTTTCACATAGTCTCAAAGTGGGGCCTCTTCACTCCTACCTTCTGGGAAGTCCCTGCTTGGTAATGATGGAGGCCAGAAGTAGAAGATTTGGGAAGGAGGTATCACAAGACCAGAAACTGGCTCACACAAGACAAGAAGCTGAAGGTGAGGGTAAAAATGATTAACATAGTCATTAAACAAGCTATAGAAAAGTAAAGGCGCAGACCTGAGGCGGGGCTATAAAGATTGAGGGCCATTGTGAAAAAATCACTGGTCCTTTCAAATCTACCTAGTCAAACCCAATATAGAAAAAAATCCTCAGGAGCCAATCCTGAAAATAATTAACTTAACAGCAGTTAACAATCCCACAAAGGGACGAGCCTCTCCCAAAGAGAAGCCTATCTGTGCAATTTCTGCTCTGACAAGATGCAGCAGTTCTCCTGCCCGCCTGCAACTCTGCAGGTGTTTCACTTCACCAACCTCCCTTTGTAAAGCAGCAGAGGCAGCTCTCCCAAGGCTGCCCGCCTGTGACCAGCTAGCAAACCTGTCCCTTGCAGAAGCAGCTCTCTGCCCGCTTGTGTCTGTGCAAGCATCCCTAACTTCCCCTCCCATTTTTATAAGTCTGTCCCTTTCGGATATAACTAAATGTCTCTACCTTATGGAGAGCCTGAGAAAACTCACTGCGTGCTGCTGAAAGGGGAGCTCTGATGAAACTTTCCTCAGAGGTAACCCAAGCACCTGGCTCTCTGAACCCAGTATCTCTCCAAACTGACATCAGTATAACCTTCAAACCTCCCACTTTCAGCTAAGCCATAGTCTTTATAAACCAAAAACATGGCATTAGGCTCTGCGCCATGGCCTTGCCAAGGAAGTCCCTCCTGTAATCTAACGTCTGTCACTCTTAGGGCAACAGGAGGCCCAGGACAGTTGCCATCTGAGATTGGACTTCTGGAACATACTTCTGAGGTACCCAACCCCCAGTGGTGGCTGCTCACCCTCCCTGAAGGCTCCAGGGAACCTCATAATGCAGGCTTAATGAAGCCTCTAGCACCCAGGGCTTAGTGACCTATAAAATGGGCAGTTTCCTGCCCACCCAGCCTGAGACTGCTGGTTAAAGAGCACAAACAGCTGACGGCTGGTTAAAGAGCACAGACATCCCAGGGCCAATCTGACCTCAATAAATAATCCACCTCCTTCTTAAATGTACATTCCTTGGTCAGGAAGTCCTTCCTGTAGTGCAACCTCCATGCTTCTTCCGCAGCACCAGCCTACAGGACACGTGTGCAGCCCAGGCTACTTAATCAGAATTCCTTGTCAGCCCATGGAGCCTTCTCTCCTGCTCCCGTGTTCCCTCCATTTCCTGGAGGGGTCCACTCCAGAGGACAGCAGGACAGCTGTGATCTGCCTAAGACCCCCAGATCCTGCTGGAGGCAAGCTGCAGGTTTTTAGGAGACGTCATAGGCCAGGTCAAGCGGCCAGAGAAGGTCTTCCAGATTCACAGTAAAGAAGTTCCACCAGGGGCCTCCCCGGTGGCGCAGCGGTTGAGCGCTGGGTTGCGAAGCTGCCTGCAACCTCTGCAGCCGGTTCAATCCCCGGCTGCTCCCCGGCCACCGGAGGAGGGTCCTACATGGCGCGCAGACCTCTCCTGCTGCCCGCTGCTCCCCTCAGCGGTGTACTTCGGTCCTTCTGCCTGCTCTGCTCCCCGCTCTGGCTCTGGTGAATTCTCTTACCCTCCCGTGCTTCTGACTGTACCCAGTGCATGTATAAACCAAACAAACAGACAAATAATAAATAAATAAATAAGACATGCCTCTAGAAAATTTAAAAAAAAAAAAATAAAAAAATAAGTTCCACCAGGACCCCACCTGCAGTGTCTCCCCAACTGCCAGCCGACATCTGGGCACCCGCCCTGCCCCTGGGCCTCTGGGCTTGGAGAGATTGGCTTATCTGGGTCGCTGGGAGGAGTTTTGAGGGTGGCGTAGGGTAGGACCTTTCTTCCCCACCCTGCCAGCCTGAAGCCCATTCCCAAGTTCCTCCTCCTCCAGAGACCCAGGGCTTCTCCTCCTGGCCCAGGCCTCCTTCCCTGTCCCCTCCAGCCAATATGAATAGTTTGCATTATCAGGCTTAGGTCTACCCAGCAATTTTCACAGATAGGTAATTCCATTTCACAGATAAGGAAAGTGAGGCTCCAGAAGGTTAGACAGTTAAAGCACAACTTAAATTCAGACCTGCCTCATTCAAAAAGCTAATCCCTCTGAAGAGCTGAAGTCTCCCACAGTCCTCTCTCCTGCCCTGGTGCGTGCAACCCACCCTCAGCCTCTCAGATGCAGGCTACTGGGGGTGGGGGGAGGGGAAGGGCTGGCAAGCGCAAGCTTCAGGGCTAAACAATTTCATCTCTGGGGTGATTCTTGTCTCAAGAGAGATTAGTAACTCCCCAAAGAATGGCCTTCAGGAACAGACATCAGCCTTGCCTCCACAAGGGCCTCCAGGTCCAGCTCCATGGAAGAGCCAGATAGGGAGAGTCGCAGCCTGCCCCCCAGCTCCCTCCCTCTTGCACCAGCACCTCTGGAGTCAGGTCCAAAGTCATGCAGCGTCTCCCTCCCAGCAGCTGGCAAGTCCCCAGCCAGGCTACAGGCTCCGTGGGCACAGGACCCGCGCAGCCACATAGGGCCGGGTTCTGAAGGGCCCACGCTCAGTCTAGCGCCCTGCTGCTGCTGTTTTGAACATGGGGCCCCACATTTTTCCTTTGCTCTGGGTCTCGCGGATGATGCAGCAGGTGCAGTGATGTAGCAGGTCCTGCCCACAGTGATGAGGAATCATCTCAGAGCCACCGGGCTGCCCCTCCCCCACGGTACAAACGAGGAAACAAGGCGAGAGGGGAAGTGTCTTGGCTGGGTCTGAAGTTCAGGAGGGGTGGTGGGCAGGGGCCAAGTGTTCAGACCCAGCAGGCCGTGAAGGCTGTGGCCTTTCAGAGCCCCATCCGGGGTTCCCCAGCTGCTTTCTCCCAAGCCCTGGAGTCCAGCCTGGAGAAGCCCCACCATGACAACAATACTGAGTTAAAGCTTTCCCCCTTTACTCCTTGGCAGGGCCCAGCTCTTCCTGAGATTCCTTCCCCAGAGATCTGTGGCCTCTGGACCACAGACATCCAACAGCAGTCCCAACCTGCCAAGCTTTCATTTGGGCACATGGTAGAGACTAACATGGGGGTGGAAGTGGGTGAGGAGCTGGAGATAAGGCTTCCTACCCTTACCCCATGGTTCCCCCAAGGGCTCTGCACCCTCTTCTGCACCCTTCCAGAACAAGGAGACCTCACCGAGGGAGGGGCTCCCAGAGTCAGGAGAGAAGCGACTCCTGCCTTCATCAAAGAAAGACCCAGCAGGTCCAGTTGCCCCCAAGCCCACTCCATCCAGCCTCAGCGGCAGCCTCAAAGGAGCACATTCCTGGAGACATCAGCTTCCTGGCTCCCCTTCCTCACCCCCACCTGTCTCCCCTCCCGTTGCTCTCCTTCCAGGATCACAAGCAAGTCAAATCAACTTGTATTTATCAAGTGACTACTCTGCATAAGGTACTCGGGATGTCCCCAAACATCCCCCTCTTCTTACCACCCCCGCTGTCTGCCAGACTTCTCGCTACCCTCCCAGCCCACCCCCAGCCCACCCCCAGCCCTTACCCTCAGTTTCCTCCTCCAGTCTGCCTAGTGCGGAAAGGCTGTCTGAGTATCACACACAATGGCCCGACCCCTCGGTCTGCCCCCTTCTCAGGGCAGAGCCAGAGCCAGACAATGGCCCGCCCCCTCCTTCTAAACTGTCAGCAATCTCTCTTCCTTACCTGGAGCTTGGGGATGCCGCTGCGTTTCCCTCCCTCCGGAATGCCTGGCGTAGGTCTCCCAGCCGGTGCCTTCGTGTCCCTGCCACACCCCCGCCCCCCACCCCCAACCCCATCCCGCCTCACTGGTCCTCGGTCACCATGGCGACCGCATCTCTAAGTGGGAGGGACTAGAATCTCCCCATATTCTTCCTCCTCCTACCCGTGTCCCCCAGCGCCCCACCTTCTGCGGTGCCCGGATCCACATGTGTAGAGGAGGTGGGGCTCCAGATGTGGGGGAGGCGGGAGGAGGCACACCAGCCCCTGGAGCACTTGCTCAGCGGCCCTGCCCACTGTCAGGAAGCCCCTGCAGTGCATGCAGCTGTCCCCCAGCCAGGTTCAGGGGTCAGCTGGGGCCAATTTCGCTTTGTGGTCAGTTTCACTGGTTCACGCTTCCCTGGGAACTGCGTGTGTGTGTGTGTGTGTGTGTGTGTGTGTGTGTGCGGGTGGGATTATATCTGCATGGCAGCCAACTTGACCCCAGGCAAACCCCTTTGCCAAAGGGGTGGCAAAAGAACACCCAAACACCTATGCAAATAAACCAAGAGACAAGGTCTCTGTCAAGAAGCCTCAGAAGCCCTCCTGACTTCTGGGGAGAGAGTTCCACTGCCAGCTTCAGGTTCTGCCCTTTCTTCTTGAGCTACCTGCCCAGCTAGCTGCCTGGCTTCTTTGGCTAACCTCCTGAGAACCAGGAGGAGGGGGAGGTTTGTGGTCAAGGAGAGGCACGGAGGACTGACTTTAGAAAGGACTTCCCAAAGGCCTCGTCTAGATAGGGATAAAGATAAATAAGACAAGCCTGAGCTGGAGTCTTTCCCATGTGCAAGAAGCAGAGGCAAGCAGGTTCTCCATGGGGGCACGAGAACTGGGTCTTGG